ATTTAGATGATATCCTCATCTTTAGTGACACGCTAGAAGAACATCGCAAAGTCATACACGAGGTTCTTCGACGGCTGCAGGAGAATGATCTATATCTCCGCCCTGAGAAATGCGAGTTCGAAAAGACAGAGATTGAGTACTTAGGCTTGGTCATACGGCAAGGACATGTCAGCATGGATCCTGTGAAGATCCGTGCGGTGAAAGAATGGGCAGTACCTCGGAACCTTACGGAAGTCCGCGGGTTCCTGTCAGAGTACGCACTGGAGCTCCTAGGAGCAGCGCGGATCCCCCGGGACGGCGGTGGAGACGCTGTCGCACAAGGCAGGGAAGCAACTGAGAATATATACAGAGATACGAGATGAATACACATACCTGTCGCACAAGGCAGGGAAGCAACTGAGAGAACAAGTCTGAGTTGCTCCCTGGTGCGACAGGCGACTATATAGTAGCTGAGTAATCCATCAGCAACACAAGGGATGGTCCAATGAGAGAGAGGGAGGCTCCTCAGTGCCCGGCACGTGACCAGTGGAACGGCCTAGGAAGGCCGCGCAATGTGCGGAGGCCCTAGGAGACCCGAAAGGATAGAAGAATGTATGGAGCTCCTAGGAAGCCCCGAAAGAATAGAGGGAGCGTCTGGGAGCTCCTAGGAAACCTGAAAGGGTAAAAAGAGTGTGTGGGGAAAGCAGGGAAACAGGGAAAGATGAGTACTGGAGGCGTGCCATGACACTGTCGTTGTCGGCAAGCATGGCGTAGTCCTCGTCACCAAAACGTCGGCAGACAGTCTTCCATGCGGAGGCCATATGCTTTGATTGATCTGCCACCGAGAGAGAGTTCCAGGATGTGAGGCCGCCAAGAGAACCAATTGTACGGTCATATTCTGACCAGAGAATTGCACACAACTCCACAGAATCCTTCGCAAGTAGACACTTTTCACCTCGCAACAGACGATCGGATGTCTCTTTCCATTCTCGGATCCCACGTGCAACAGCACCATTGTTGGCAGAGTGGTCTGAACTGTAGACCATAACCTTGCTCGGGAGTTCGAGTGAATTCAGCGGGCCAGAGTCAGCCAACGGGCTACTGTTCCAGACAGCATAGAGATCGTCGGATGTTAAACTCTGCCAGCCTTGAAGCTGCATAGCGGCCTGGTGATTTGGTGCATTGATAATCGGAAGCATGTACGTGGAAACATCAGTAGCAGATCCTGATTGATGAGATGAGGTGACGGTGTGGATATGTTTGCTCTCATACTGCCGATTCTTGTGTGAGGTACCATCAGCAGAGAGTGAGACACCTTCAGCAGCATGCACAGCGTCTACAATTTGCAGTTTCGCAGCCGTAAGACCCTCCAGAATGATGCAAGAAACACTTCGACGGCTGATTGAGCCAGTGATGGAGATTCCCCACGCCTCCGCAGTGATCCTGAGAGCCTCGGAAATGTTTGCTGAGGGAAGCCCAAGACGTGTGAGCTCATGCACGAGGAGCCGCCCTGCCTCAGTAATAATCCCCTTGTTTTTGAGCCGTTGCCAGTGAGTGATGGTGCTTGCTGCTGTGATTGCCTGATGAGTCTCTGAGCGTGAACGAGAGAGCTGGACCCGGAGGATGCGCCGATCCCGCATCAAAGCTGTTATTTTTATCTGTAGCTGTGTGATGGACTGCTGACCAGATTCCCGGGATTTGGTGGCAGTCAGAAGTTGCCGCTCCAGTGAGATTGCATGTATCCGTTGCTGCTCGCCTCTTTGCTGGCAGTCTCGAAGCTCAGAGTTGACAGAAAATATCTTTTCAGCGAGAGATTGATGAGAGTCCGAAGCTCCTTTCAGTTCGACAAGAAGTTCTTGTTCCCGAGAGGCCAGCACCAAGATCCTGGACTCCTGAACCTTGATGGCCGCAAGATGCCGTCTCCCTTCGGCCTGGGCCTGTTTCAGCCGCGTTGTAAGGGTAACTTTGGCATCCAGATTCCATTTGTTCTTGCGCTGTTCATTTCTGAGTTTGATCCGAAGAGCCGCTGCCGTTGCATTGCCTTTTGAGAGTTCCTCGGCAAAGATGGCTGCCGCCTTCTCATAACGGCTTGATTCCTCCTTAGCTGCATGGGCAAGAGCACAGTTTCGCCTCCGGGCATCCCTCTGTGCAGCAGTAAGAGCCATAGGTGCTACGGAAAAATTTCCAGACCAAAAACTCGAGACGGTACGCATATACGGGACCGTGGGAACTGAGCTGTCAGGCCCGGGATAAGGTGTTTCTTAACATTGTGGGGCAGCATCCCACAAGCGCGAATAAATTCTGATGGAGCACTGGAATATTCTTTCATATGTGAATCATGCATCTGTGTCACGTGTCGGATCTTGGGCCATAACCGGGCCAAGTACGATAGCTCCGGTCGTTCCGGGTTGTCCGCCATCGGAGTAGCAGCTCCGGTACCGGACCTACATTATCACATGAATAGTCCTCCGGCGACTCAACGTCCCGGTAGTTCTCGAGTCATAACGGATTCAACTCCGACGTTCACGATCGATATGCCTTTAACGGTTTGATATTCCCTTCGGACTTATTCTACCTCCGATTATCAGCTTCATAACCATATGCTCCGTCCTTACGATTGATCGTTCCACATGGTTCATAGTTCCGATAACTCCTTATCCACATGGTTCATAGTTCCGATAACTCCCTATTGATACGAGCTCCGAACCGTGCCTCCGCGTATATAAACTCCTAGCTCCTGTACTCTAACTCCTTAGTTCGAATATCGACTAAGTTACTCCTCTGCTCCGACACGGACTTAGAGCGCGTAGCGACTCAAGCCTTAAAGCTTGAGTCTGGTCCGTACTCGCACTCACTCTCTGTATCTCGAAACTCTGCTCCGACTCTCTCCGACTTTCTCCGACTCTCTTCCGACTCGACTCCGACAATCATCTCGCTAGGTCCGGACGTCACACCTCCGGCGTCGGACTTAGCTCCGTCTCGATCTTGACAATCTGGTAATGTTAGAATTCAGACATGTATTTTATATAGCTAGATACAGTGCTGTAGATAGCTGTTTTGAGGGCTACAGGACTGACAACACACAATAATAAAAATCAAAAAAGGTTACTGTTACGATACTTTTATCCCTTATAATCATTGTCCCAATGTTGCATCCGAAGATGCTTCCCCTGTTACGAGGAATCCATAATTCGCCTTAGGGGGGGGGGTGGCGTAGGACTGTGGCACTGCCACCGGCTCTCGATTTCACGATTTTGGCGGGCGTTGCCCGTACCCATTAGCCTCACTCAATAATGAGGATAACGAGCCCAGGTTAACGAGTCGAGAGGCTCGCAAGCGTGAGACGTTTGATGGCATCTGCCATATCCACGTGGCTTGAGTTGGCATCGCCGGATGGCGCAGCAACAATTCAAGCTCCGATTAAAATGACTAACACATTCGCGTTGAACGCATCTGAACGCGCTCGGCGACGCGCTCGACGACATTCTTTGCTACTGGACTCCGTATCACCAAATGAATGCGAACTTTGACTTCACGGGCATAGACCCTCTCTTTGTTGTTCAGGCAGCTGCAGGGCTTGGACTTTTCGAAGATAATCCTCCAGCTATACCTGTATACCCGCACCTACACACTCCTTCGCTGGCACCCTCTTTTTGATTCTCGAATACCAGACATATCGACCTCGGACATGCTCAGGATATGGGTGGACTGCAGTATATGCTATATGAACCTCACTTGGGTGAGTTTCTGTGAAGCCGAAACATTGTTTATGTCGCTAACTCAAAGACAGAAGCTACACATCCAGATGAGAACATGCAACCGTTGCATCCACCAGGAGCGCACGCTGCTCAGCCCGCTATCATACCTGTCCAAGAGGCCGTGGAGCACCCTCACAACGCAAACACCAGCCGCGCTGATGTCGTGGAACTTGTGCCGAACATGGGCAACGGCGCTGACACGTCTAACACCGGCGACGTCAATGCCAGCAAACACGACCAGTGCCGTGACCGATGCGATGACCGCCGTGATGGATGCCGTGACGGACACAACGGACATAGTGAGGGACACGACGGACACGGCGACGGACACGACGGATGCGGCAGCGGACGCGACGGATGTGACAGTGGACGCGATGGATGCGGTGACGAACACGACGGACGTGATGGATACGGCGGCGGACGCGACGGATGCAGCGGCGGACGCAATGGACGTGGCGACGAACGTGATGGGCACCACGATGGACGCGATGGGTGCAGTGACGAACACAACGGACGTGGCGACAAATGCAATGGGCACCACGACGGATGTGATGGGCGCGGTGACGGACGCGATGGATGCGCAACGACCTCCAATGCATACTCGGTGCCATCTGACAAATCACAGACGGCTATGGCACCAAGCCCGGCGCTGACCAACATCTCCAACCTGCATCAAGAGCAGGCTCCCTGCGCGGATGTCCCCGCGCAACCTGCGAAATCCAAGCAACGTCGCAAGCCCACAGAAACCAACGACGCAGACTTGCAGAAGAAGGGGACAAGAACACCCGCAAGGGTGCCAAAGACACCCAGCAAGACCACGGTGAAGACCGAGACGAAGATGCCTGTGAAGGCAGCACCGAAGGGCCTCGGTGCAAAATCTGGCAAGAACGTGCGCAAAGGCGGTGAGTCCGATGAGGACATCAAGGAGATGGACCCAGAGATGGCGAAGCAAGTGTTGGAGGGGACGGAGAGCAACTGGAGCAAGGAGGACACGAAGATCCTTGTCGACTACATCTGCCGCGAGGACGTCTTCGAGGACTTCAAGCTCAAGAAGGATACACACACCGTCAAGGTAGTTTTTGCTTCGCTTCTCAGCTTCCGTCGAGTCTCATTGCTCCACGCAGATTGCTCAGGATCTTTTGAATAACCGCAAGACAGCTACTCAAGTGAAGTCCCGGTGGAAATACCTTTTCCGCAAGTACATGGCTGCACGGAGATTGGAAGAACATACCGGCGGTGGCGATGGCGACGAAAGCGAAATGGAGGCTCTCGGTAGTGACATGGAGTCGAAGGTTGGCGTTAAGCGCCCATTGTCGAAGAGTTCCAGCAGCCAATGGTCCCGCGAGACGCTGGAGGAATTCCGCGACTCATACATTTATATGGTTATTGACACCGTGTAAGTTTTTTGTTAACTGCATTGCATTGACTGACCACTGTTCTAGTGCGCACGATCATCCTGAAGTGGTTTGCGATGATCCATTGAACGAGGCGACCTCACTCTCCGACAGCGAAGAATCGAGTATCCCCCCTCGCAAGTGTATTCATCGTGAGGGTTCGGAGGAAGATATGCTCAAGTCACTTGTAGACAGCATCAATGCTCGGACCAAGAGCAAGACCAAGCTTGAGGAGCGGGAGCTTCAGATACGCGAGGCACAGGCAAAGCACGAGGAAGAGCTTCATCGGATCCGTGTGCAAGAACTTGAGTTGCAGCAGTGGGTTAAGGTGAAAGAATTCCTTGAGTCACCTGTCGCTGCTGTTCAGGAGTTCGGCAAGAGATTGGCTGCGCAGTTGGATAAACGTAAGGAGGGTGACCGTGAATGATCAACATAATTCATCATGTTATAGCATTTTAATCCTTAATCACCTGTGAATTTCCATAGATTACTTTATTACAATGTTTATCGATTGAGGAAAGCTCCCTATACATATCATCTCCTCTTCATGAGACCAAGAAGGTGCTTGTGCCGGAAGAGACCAGATCGATAGAGGTCGCTATCTGTCTCCTCTGCTACCTCACGCTGGTGAAGTCGGCTGATGTGGCGAGCTACCCGAGGTGCCTCTCCCTCTTGCAGTCCCACAATCTTCATGGGATCATCCCCAATGGATGTCAGGATATTGTGCGAGACAAAAAGTGCTTCAATGGTCCTGTTGACTCGCTGGAGGTTGTGGCCAGGGATTAAACGCAGATACTGAAATTGGCCCTTCAGTAATCCAAAGGTGTGCTCGATCTTGATGCATATAGCAGACAGGCGCTGGTTCCAATGTTTCCGATGTTCAGATTCATCAGGATCTGTTGTGAGATCTGGATCTGCAAATGGGCGGATGGTGTACATTGAGAGGGGATAACCTACAATTAACATTGTAAGCACAATAATGAAGATATGCAAAATATATGACATACCTTTGTCCACCATGATGAACTCTGTGTTCTCACAATATTCTTCACGATGTTGCCATAGCCGGGACTGCTTGAATATGGTAGCATCGGTAAGACATCCTGGCCAGTCAAGCTCGTAGCTGGTTATGAAGCCTTCGTGGTCACATATGGCCTGAACTGAGAGCTACATAAATCAGCATTTGAGTGGTGTATTCACGTGGAGGTATGAAGACACTCACTGCATAGAACTTTTTCCGACACCAGAATGACCATGGATTTCTCAGAGGCCAATGAGCAAGCCTGAGAAGAGATCCATCTCCAATCCCAATACAACCAGGGAAGGTCTTGTCCTCCATCCACTGTTTGATTGTTGCCCGCCTCGCAGCATCTGGCCACTTGAGATACTGTGGCTTGAGACGGCGGAGTGCTTTAGACACACGGTCAAAGTATAGGAAGCTGCTACCTTCAGCTACCCCGATGATATCGCCTGTGCGTAGGGCTGTCAACCCGCCAACCTGCATGTAAAATGCGGCCATCTGAAACTTGACGGGACGCTGAGGCCGGCGAGGCGTGCTGGCAAAGACTGGATCACTTTCAATCAGGCCATGTATATGCCAGAATGTATCCCTAGACATGCTGTGTATTCGGAGCTGTAAGTTATCATATACATCGAGACAGGATCTGTATTACCGCATCCATATCCTGAATCGTTTCTCGCTAAACCCTTCTAAAAGCAACTTGAAGAATTCCTCTACTTGTGGAGCATTATATGGACCCCTTCTGCCCCATCTGCCATGACGCGGCTGATTCTGCTTGGTCTTGATTGTGAGTGCAAGCATGGCCTGCGCATTCAGCTCGTCAACCTCATCCTCAGCTTCTGAGAAGAGATGGCATGTGACTGCAAGCATCCGCTTCCATAATGGCAGCCTAGTCTTGGTTTCTTTGGTGCGACGCGTGTGTAGGCGCCGTGTCCTTGCCATGCCAGTGTAGTTTGTGGCAGAGGATGCTCATCGATTGATAGCGAACGTGATCCTCGTCGCATTCGTCGTGTTCGTCGATTTAAGCGGAGCCTGAATTGTCACTGCGCCGTCCGGCGATGCCGACTCAAGCCACGTGGATATGGCAGATGCCATCAAACTAGTGTTGCCGTCGAGTCGAGGTGAACTCGATCCAAACTCAAACTCAACTCGAACTCGTCGTAACTCGATCTTCCAAGTTCAGGCGAGGCGCGTTCGAGTGAACTCGCGAGTTTGCTAGAAGGTTAGCTCAGTGTTCCCATTGGCTATCAGGCGCGACCACGTGATCCTCTGCTCACCGATCTTGCGCTCGCGTCTCGTCGTGCTCGACATCCTTGCTTCATACCATCTGGAGACTTTGTTTTGCCGCTTAGCGCAGACCTTCGAGCATGTCGTCAATGTACTCCGCAGCACTAGATCGACTTGGAAACAGTATATAGTCGACCAATATATCGCTTTTCTCAATTTCTCCTTCGAGCTCAAACTCCTTCGGTCATATTGTCAGCGTATGCAAGCCCCGTGTAACTGCAGCTCAGTCAATACATGTCCGCATAGAGCCATGCTATCTGACATGTTCAGTGGCTATGGTATTTCGGACTCTTCGCATGGATTCGCCAACACTGTTGGACTTCACCCAGACCCGAGTAATGGCATTCGGGGCCGATTCTTGCCGCCAGACCCTTCTGCACAATCATATCTTGGTTTTACTCAGCTGAGCTCATCCCCTGCACCTCCAATAGTGATTCCACAGTCCGCTCTCCAGGACACTACAAATCTACAAGATCAAGTTGTGAATGCACCCACTCCAACCGGAAAGCGAACACGGACACGTAGCAACATCACAAATCCACGGCAAAAACGGGCTCGAACGCAGGTCAATGGAATTCAGGCCACGCCTTTGACATTTGGTGTTGGTCCCTTTCATCCGCCTGCGCCGAGCTCTTCGCAGAATAACAGAACTGTTAGTTCGACGTTCATTCCTGACTTGCCAACAACAGACTCGCTTCCCGCTCCGAGTCTTGATCCCTTACAGCCTTCGGTCTCTCAACGCACCAGCCAGTCCAGAACCTATGCGGCAAGTGACGTCTGGTGGCATATGCGACCAATCCAGTCTGCCGAACGACCCGATACGGAGCCTCCCGCTGATGGAGATGAACCTCTACGGGAGAAGCCAGACACCCCGTACGTGAGCTGCAAGCTATGCAAGTGAGTGCGATATGCGATTGTCAGGCCTTGTCAGAGACTGATATCTAGCTAGATGGCCCACTTGGAAGGTGTACAAGCTTGGCAAGGGAGGCAACACAAACACGATCCGAAATCACCTCATAAGCCGTCACTCTGATATATACAAGGAAGAAAGGACAACTCACAATCTCAAGCATGCTTATGATGTCCCATCAGATGGTCGAAGTGCACCTCAGCAGCCTGAACGGGAGTCATTCTCATCGGAACGACTCTGAGACTATCTACTAAGGTGGATAGCAGTTGATGATCAGGTAGGTGAATGTACGCATGCAATCACCAAACAGTTAGCTCACAATGACTCCTTGTAGGCCCTGAATGTCATGGACTGTCCATAGTTCAGTGAATTGCTCCTATATGTTAATCGTGTGAACACGGTGCTTACTGACAAGGATATACCGCACCGAACGGCAATTCGTGATCACACCTTGCGCCACTATGGCAAAACTAGGGAAATGATATGGAAGGAGATGAAGGTGAGCATCGAGCCGACATGTATATAAGAGTGCTGGTGCACTGATGATACCTGGACAGGAGTCGCCCGGCCGTATCTCCCTAACTTGGGATGATTGGTCAAACTCAGACCTAGACACATTTATGTGTGCAACAGTTCATTATGTTAGCTACGACGCAAAGGGAGATCTTGCCCTACGCAATCATATGCTGATGTTCCGGCGCCTTGAGGGACCTCACAATGGCAAAAACATCGCCCATAACCTATGGAATGAGCTTGACAAGGCAGGAATCAAACACAAGGTTTGCAATCTGTAACACCACATTGTGCCGGCATATGTATCTAGTGACTATACATTGCAGATTGGGCTTTGCACCACAGACAATGCCTCCGTCATGGATACAACAATGGATTACCTAGAGGAGCATTTTCGACAAGAAGGGATCGAATTCAGCAGCGAGGGAAATCATGGCCGGTGAGCTTGGAGACTCCGATGTTTCATGGGCACATACATACATGTATATTGACATTGTCAACAGATGCTTCCCCAATGTCATAAATCTTGCAGTACAAGCCATTCTCAATGGTATCAAGACACACGGTGGCACCCTCTGCTGCGCACTGCCTGATATTACGACCCCACACAAGGACGAACATGAAGCATATGCTGCCGCATTGGATACCGATCCAGTCGGCTGCGTGCGCAACATTGTAGGCGCTGTGCGGTCATCCGGTCAGCGGCGCTCAAACCTCATTCAGACCATCCGGCAAGGAAATGATTCAGAGGTGTGGCCAGAGAGAATTCCCGAGCGCCAGCTCACGCGTGACTGCGAGACCCGATGGTCGTCAACTTCTCTCATGCTCGAACGTGTATTGGATGCGAATGAGGTCTGTTCAAGTCTCAACATCATTGTCAGAAGGCTAACCATTCAATTGAATCACTTCCAAGGCTCTCAAGTGTATGTTCTGTGTACCTAAATACCAGCAAGCCGGTCTGCATACCTTGCTACTGAACAAGGATCAATACACGGTGACCTGCGATATAGAAGATGTTCTACGGATTCCACACCATGTGCAAGAGCTTCTCTCTGCGGAGAAAACCCCAACACTCCCGGTTGCACTCCCAGCATATGAGCAGGTCCTGTTGCTCTGGCGTGCACTACAGATAGAGTTACAATATCTTTCTCCGTACATCGAATTTGGGATATCCAAGATTGAGGAATATGTAGCACGGAGTCGTAGAAGCTGTGCCTATGTTCTTGCCATTGGTATGTGGCCTTGCCTTGTGTTTGGTCTCATTAACTGAAACCCCGCACTCAGTGATCAATCCAGCCATCAAGTTCCGATGGATCGAGGATCAATGGACTGAAGAGGAGTGCGAGGAGGCACGCCGATGGGTCATTGACACGGTGCGTGCATGTTTGCAGCTGAGCTCTGCCTAACAACTGACATTCTACATATTGTACAGCTCACACAGTTCCGTCGCCAGCAATGCATCCACGAAGCTACCAATGTCCCTGAGAGTTCAACAGATCTCCCTACTACCATGGCATCTCTCGCACAAGGCCGGGGATTCCTCAATTTGAGGAATACTAGCCGAAGATTCCGCCGTACCGCTGGTCTCAGCGCATCGAGCTCTGAGTCAGACTTATCAGTATCGCAAACACGAACATCGTCCACATCATACTTGCAATCTGCTGGCTCAACTGCAGATTCAGCCGGAGATCTGAATCGCCTCTCGCGAGAGGCCCTAGAAGCCGACGATCGAAAGCGTGCGTTGCGCGAATTCGACCGCTATTGCGAAGAACCAGTGGTGCAAAATGGAATCGAGAACGGATTGGATCTCCTACGGTATTGGCAGGTGCGTGAATCTCCCTTTTGTGAGCCGAATAGCTACTAATGCTGCAGAACAGATCAACAAGCATTCCTTCCCCTTGCTTTATCGTGTAGCTCTTGACATTTTACCTGCACAAGCGTCCTCTGTAGCTTGCGAGCGTCTATTCTCGTCAGCCAAGGAGACCGACACTCTTCGCCGCAACCGGTTGTCTCCAGCAGTCATGGAGGCCCTGCAATTCCTCAAGAGTTACTACCGCCGCGAGGCCCTCAGCTTCACTGATGATTTAGTTGCGGACCCCAAGGATTATGCCATTGATGGCCTTGTCACGAATCGGGCTATGGATGAGCTTTCGCATGCCAACAACATCGACGAACTACGTGACCTGCTGGGGAACAGATCGGAGATTTGAGGGTTGCGCCTCAAGACCTATAATATTCTTGCCAGCTGTAATGTATGGACTCGTAACAATACATCCATGCATTAGCTCAAGTAGCTAGACAACTCGCGAGTCAACTCGACCTCGACTCGGAAGAACTCGAAAAAGCGAGTTTGACGAGTGACGCAACTCGAACTCGACTCGACTCGACTCGCGGCAACACTACATCAAACGTCTCACGCTCGCGAGCCTCTCGACTCGTTAACCCGGGCTCGTTATTGAGTGAGGCTATTCATCATCATCATCACCCCGATCACGTGGGGGAAAGCAAACGCGATTGCGGTCGCGACTCGTTGACTTTGCAGGGCTTCGCATATGTCGATAACACCAAACAAGCCACGGTTATCTGCCATACCTGGGCCGAGCAGCCGCCTACCTACTCCAGGCCGGTCCCGCTCGACGTCGAGTGCATCTCAAGGTGGAACCATACCCCTCCACGACTCCGATTTCGCATCTCGCGCTCTCGCAGATGCTCTCAAGGCCCACGACCCCACGCGGCACCGAACGTCCACTGCCGGTGACACGCCCTCTGGCGCATTGCCGTCGTCTGTAAAGTCTGGATCTAGGCCAACCCCCGGCCGACCTTCGTTGACTGCGACCTCAGTCTCGGCGCACAATGGTGCAAGTACGCGGCCCAAAACACCCACCGCGCGTCCCCTTAGTCGTCAATCGGATGCCTTTACGCGCAGCTACAGCCGTGCGGGACGAGTGTACGACATCGGTGACGACGTTAGAGTTGAATCCCTGGGCTTCGAAGGAACACTGCGGTACCTTGGAGAGATCGAGGGCAAGCCAGGCACATGGGCAGGGGTCGAGCTAAGCGGCGGATTCTCAGGCAAAGGAAAGAATGATGGCTCAGTTGCTGGGTATGTCAACTCCCCATGTTTTCGCATGTCGTGGTTCATCATTGTTGTGGTTAGGAAGAGGTACTTTTCCTGTGCCCCGAATTGTGGTGTCTTCGTGGCCGTTGCAAAACTTAGTGATCCCACGACCAATTCAAGGATTGTTTCACGACCTCCGTCTGTCGCGTCCTCTCGCGGCGGGCGAGTCACACCATCGCTCTCGGGACGTGTCACTCCCTCAGCTTCCAGTACATCATTCGGCGGGCGCATAACACCTTCCATGTCAACATCCAGTCGGACATCTTTCGGAAGGGTTACACCGTCAGCCGTGCTAGGGCGTGTCACTCCGGGGACCACCCCAGCTGCCCGTGCTAGAACAAAGCCGGGAGCCAGTATCAAATATGGTCTCTCTACCACAAGTCCGACTGCCGAGACCAAGATCACCCCGGGCTCGCGCGCATCGAAATACGTCGGTGTGACAGCCAAACAGTTAACAGCTCGAGACTTGAACACGACAAGTCCACCGACATATGCAGGTGGCAGCATGAGCCCTTCCCTGTCAAATTTCTCCACCGTTCATGAATCTGCACTAGTAGGCTCACCTTACAACACTCCTAAACCCGGCTCTCGTATTGCAGGTCTTGGCCTGGGGAGTCCATCTACCACCCCCTCGAAGACACGTCCTTCTCTGGGCACACCGCGCGCCCGTGTCCCGAGCTCAATTGCCATGCCTCCTCCTCCGTCCCCGTCCAGCCGCTCTGTCTCCCTCAACGATCCTGACATTCGGCCTAGGTCTTCGGCAGAGTTGGTGTCGGATGGTCGGCAGTTACAGGACAGAATAGAAGGCCTTCTATCCGGCAAGGTAACACCAACGTCACAGGCGGCGATATCGCCGCGTCCGAGCTCCGCTGCTTCTGCGTTCTCAGCCGTTATGGGCGACGATGCAATCAAGCGTCTACAGGCTCAGCTGGATGGCATTCAGGCGGAGAATATGCGACTACGTGAACATTTGGTCGCAAAGGACTCCAACGAGGAGTCTTACTCCCGCGCTCTGGAGGAGAAAGAAGCAGCTTTCCGGCAACTTGCGGCATTGGAAGCGCTGTCCAAAGCTAAGGAAGCGTCTACGCGGGAGTTGAACTTGAAGGTCGAGACGCTCGAACGTAACCTACTTGAGGCACAATCCGATAAAGAAAGGGCGACGGCGGAAGCAGAAGGTCGTGTCATCAATTTACAGTCAAAGTTGGAAGAGGCCGATATACTCGTTCGCAGTCTCAAAGATGCTGCGGAGGCCAAAGAGGGCGCCGAAGTGGAAAACGGCGCAATCGTTCGTGCAAAGGACGCTGAAATCACACTCCTCCAGTCCCGTGTCGAGAAGATAACTATACAACTCGACACCGAACGCAAGGAGCTTGGCGCTCAAATTGATGAATTGCGACAAGCCGGCCAGGTAAAAGGATATCGAGCTATGCATGCGTCATCGGGAGCTGAGATCATCATCTAGGAAACGATTGCGTTGTACGAAGAGCGACTCAGTCTCGCGGACAGCAAGCGATATGAACTCGAAGATCGCATAGCGCTCCTGGAGGACCAGATTCAAAAATCTACACAGCCTTTATCCCCCGACACCACTGCTCGGCAAGCTTCATCTGTGGCAGAAATTGACAACGAGAATCTGCGGGAGCAGGTGCAGTTTCTGCAGCGCAGGATCAGCAGCTTGGAGGACCTACTTGAAGATGCGCGCGCATCTTCCGAGCGGGAGGAGGCCGTCGTTGTGGAACGGATCAAACGGTACAAGGATAAGGAGGAGGCCCACAAAGCCGAGCTGGCCGACCACAGGAAGGAATCTGATCGGTTGCGTGAACTGGAAGCCAATGCCCGTGCGCGGCTCAATGAGATGGAAGAAGCCGTGAGAGAGGGCGCAGTTGCTCTCGAAAACGCCAGAGCGGAAATTGAAACATTAAGGACAGATATCGCTGTCAGTTCTTTTTCTTCGTTTTCTTCGTTTGGTCAGCTAGCTCTGACGAGCCTTAGGACATGGAGAGCAAGGCCGCGGATAGGTCATCTGATGGCATCGCTAGCAGGACATCCACTGGGGATTCGATTGACGGCGCTGGAATACGGGACGAACTCAGCAGGGTGCAAGCCATGCTCGAAGAAGCTCTTGCATCCAAAGATGAACAAGCCGAGGAGATTGTGATTCTCAGGTTGGAAGCCGAAGAAAACGCTCAGACGCTGAGCGATATGCGAGGTGCCCTTGACAGTGCAAGTGCTGAGAATGCTCAGGTACGACTTTTCTGAAGGCAGGGGGGCAGCGATTTCACTAAGCCTCCGCTTTGTAGTTGGGAGAACGCTTGCAAACCTTGCAGGATAGGTTGGAAGAGGCACAGGCTCGTACATCTGAGCTTGAACGTGCTCTCGATGAACGTGCAGCAGAGCTCGACGCTCTGCGCAAGAGACTGAATCGTGACGTCTCCATGAACGATGGCCTACAGGAACCAACCAAGGTTGCACCCGTAAGCGCAACCTCCGCGCCAGAGAAAGAGGAACTCCGTGGCTTGAAGTAGGTTTATCATCACCATATCACTCATGAACATGTCCAACCAACCTTCTGGCGTAGGATTTTAGTACAGGAACTGCAGAAGGAAAATTCCTCGCTCACCCAACAGTTCAAGCTCAAGCAATCTGAAAACCAATTACTAATGTCGGAAACAGAGCAATTGCGCCAAGTAAGCCCGATACGCATATTGAAAGGGTGCTTACTCATCTAGAACATAGGAGTTAAAAGCGCTCGAGGATCAGGTGGAGCAAAGCCTGTTGAATGAGGAACGTGCGCTAGATTCCCCCCATCTTGCAACTGAGGACATAGCTGCTCTGAGAAAGAGCATCAAGGATTTGAAGATCAAGCACGAGGTACGTGTCTGTATTGTCTGTATTTCCTTCGAAAACCTCAGCTTTGCAAGGCCGAGCTTGAAGCGATCCGGAAGAGGCAGGCGGAAGTGGAGATGAAGAGTGCGAGGACAATCCATGAAGTATGGCCGCCGTTGTTACTGGTTTTATCATATTTTAACGTGCATCACGTACAGCTGAACAAGGAAATCAGCGAGCTCGAGAGCCTCGTAGAGTCCAAGGTCTGTCTTGGATAGCAATCTCCCAGCTTTATCCGCTCACCCGTCGCTGAGCAGATATACCGAGAGGTTTGTATACGATCCATTGCGTGTTCAAGCCGGATGCTAATTCATCGTCCAGGACGAACTGGAGCGCGAGCTCGAGAAAGTGAAGGAGAAACTGGGCCGTGCGAAGAAGTCGTCGAAGTCCAGCATTGAACCTTCGGAAACTGCTTCGATCCGTTCTTTCCAGAGCCACAGTAGCGTGTCCTCCTTCGCTGCCGGAGCTGCCAACGGCTCCACCGAAGTATGCGAGATTTGCGAGCAACCAGGGCACGACATCTTCACGTGCAAAGTCCTCGCTGGGGACGAACCCCCGGCATCGACAAAGAGCACAGCGGTGTGCAGCGACTGCGGTGAAAGGGGCCACATCGCAGAAGCCTGCCCGCATTCGCTGGACGTCTTTTGAAATCCAGAATGTGTGTATAGCTAGCTGACTACGATGTGACGCTGAGCTCGCGTCAGCCTCCCGGACCCTGTTTGTCGAGATTTCGCTTATATTGTCGCTGCTATGTTACGCTGGACCGGAGTATATATATGGATATACTGTATGGATTTAGGATAATATGCTATTCACAACCAGATCCGATAAAGGGATTCGCAGGCACATGACGGTTCATGCGTTCGGCTTCCAAATCACTGTCTCCTGCATATTGCTGCCTTGCACCACCATGGATATTTGGCGGCTTGACGGCTCGGCTCCAGTTGTACAGCTGATCAAGACAGTTGATATGCATACCACGGGGGAGGTGATTGATCATACTGGTTTCGGTACCGTTACACGGAACTCACTCGTGGAGTTGATGAAGCCGACTAGAATCATCGTGGCTGGCTACCCACCGCTGGAAGGAGAAACACTCCTGCAGAAGCGCGCGTGCGCAAAAACCAAATATGATCATATACGGCGACAGTGAGGATTACAAGCCCGTGATCATGCATAGAACCCGACGATCTGGGTCATTTCAGGTTGATGCACGAACCTAGAGGGCATCGCGACATGTATGGAGCGATATTGCTCCCGGAGACCGAGATGACGGCGCTCAATCGGGCACACATTGGCGTCCTGTTCTGTCACAATGGTGGACCATGTTGCAAACTCGGCGTTTGGGGCCAGCACAGCTGACGCCATTCGAACATATAGAAGGTTACTCAACGATGTGCGGTCACGCGACGCTGGCCTTGGGACGATTTCTCGTCGATACACGCGATCGCGACCTCTTCCCTCGGCGTGACAAGCTCGTGTACGACGAGTTGACCAGGACGACGGAAGTGGTATTGCACGCGCCATGCGGACCTCTCAAGATCACGGTACCGACGATATCGGAGGGCGGAAGGCTGAGGTCTGATGCTGCAAGGCCGGTCAGCTTTCACGGCGTCCCGAGTTATGTGACGGGGATGAGGGTCGACGTGCCTATTCCAGAAGACAGGCGGTGGTCACACCTCCGGAGCACGAAGTCCTCCGTCGTTCAAGTAGACGTTGCGTATGGAGGCGCTTTCTACGGGATCGTCTCAACGGAAGAGCTAGGATTTACAGCTGGACTGAATAAGGAGTACACGTTGGAGCAGTTCGATAAGGCAACAAGCGTCCTCAAGAGCTGCCTGATGGAGAGAAGGGATCTATTCAAGCACCCGACCGAACCGGACCTGGAGTTCCTTTACGGGATCATCGTGGTCGATAGAAATCGCGGAAAGCGATCGAACGAAGATGCTGTAGGAGCCAACACCGGACTCTGTTTCTTCGCGGACAGGGAAATCGACAGGTCGCCGACTGGGTCCGGGGTCATGGCCCGAACGGCGCTCGCGGTGAGCAGGGGCGAGCTGGAAGTCGGGGACAGTTGGGAATACCACTCGATCGTGAGCGCGGGCAGAGGAGAGGGCGGATTTCGTGGGACGGTGATCAGCAGCGGCCCCGACGGCGTTGTTGCGCGAGTAGAGGGCAAGGCGTACTACACCGGCACGCATTCCTTCGTCGTCGAAGCATGTGATCCGCTCGCGGACGGCTTCGTGCTGGGCCTGTAGCACAGCCACTGTCGCGACGAGAAGCGCAGATATGATGTCATTTCTTCGTGACGTAGTGCATGTCCCCGTTCACCTCAAAAGCGCGCGACACCGCGCCATGAAATGTCCATCGAATTGTCTCAACCATGTCCTACGCATCCGTCGCTGCCCACAACGCACCTCCCCCGTCCCAGCAGGTGAGCGCACGCGTTGTCCTACTCTCACATGGTTCTCAAACTCCTTCGACAGCCCCATCCAGACCCAGCGCTGCTCACCACGCCCGATGACGTGCGTGATGGCACCGCTGTTGCAGACGATGCGGCCAAGGTCAACCTTGTTCCTTCGGATTTCAAGGAGCATCCCGCCACCATAACCTCTGAAACGGAAATACGCGTCCCGCAAACCGAAGAGGATGTTCCCACCGGCAAGGGTAACGCGAAGGCGGCGAAGGCGAAGAGTAAACTTCACCAATTAGAAGATGAAGCGCGCAAGGACTGGAGCAAGGCGCAGGATGAAGGCTTCTACCTCTGGAACGTGGTTAAGGAACAGTTATTCCGCCCTGGAGTTGCGGGTGGCCTCATTGGCATCGGTGAGTTCTATAGGATTGTCTTGTGTCCTTCAACACGCACTGAGCACGGTTAATAGTGAATGTTGGCCTTCTCTCGAGTGCATCATATCATCTTTACACTCGGCCTCACCTTCGATCGGATGCTCGCGTGCTGGGTGCGACCGTCGCCGGTGCTCTCACTATCCTTGGAGCAGAGAGCTATGCCGCAGAGAAGTATAGTCAGACGCCCGCTGGAAAGGCGGAGGAACGACGCGCCCGCGAGGAAGGTGCTGTCATCTACAGACACGCTCGTGAAGTGATCCTTCGTCCTGGCGTACTTGGAGGGCTGGTCGGCCTCGGTAAGTCTTGCGTATACCACTTTGCCCCGAACATTGCTAAGAAGGGACTCCAGTGAACCTTGGTGTTCTCGGCGGTGTCGGCTACATTGCTTATGATAACTGGACTAAGCCTCACTGGGACCGACGCACCGTCTCTGCCATAACCGTCGGCCTGTTCACGTTGTTCTCTGCTGAAGGGTGAGTATCTCAAACTTTATCACCAGTACAGAATGTTCATGTATGTCTGTCAGTTACGTCGCGGAACAAGTCCGTGAGGGCAAGGTTCATCCCCCTCGTCGCTAGACTATGTCATGATCGTGATGACACTTGTTTATTGAAAACGTATCACTCTAATCCATAAATGTATACTAGCATAATTGCCCCCCTCCCGTCACAATACACTTGACAAGATGTGCGTCAAGGAGAGGGCAACAGCCAAGTATGTGCATACGGATGCATTATAATATACATAAATATGTGCAGAGGCGAATGATACAACGTCTTATCCCGTGTTTCCGGGCGCCAATGTGTCCATTTTATGCGTAGATCCTGCCGTGCGCCCAGCCTTGCCCAGTTGCCGACCATATAACTCCAACAGCGCTTCCATGATTTCCTCCATCGGAATCGTGGCGTACTCATGAACATATTGTGGCAGCGATTCTTCGAGATTGAAGCCGGCCTTCTTCATGAAGAAGGGATGCATGACGTCGGGCGTCGCCTCGCCGAGCTGACGCATAGTAAGGCGCTCGATCTGTCTATGGCGGGGGCGGTAAATTACGTTCCGACTGCTCCCAGATGCTGCCTCCTCCGCGGGGGCAGCGGTGAGGGTAACGCTTGCTTGGGTCGGCGAACCGTCATCACTACCAGACATGGCTGCTACCGTGGGCGAGCCGGGCGGAGACGGATCCTGCGCTCGCTGCTTCGAACCTTGATTCAGGTTGAATGCCGGCAGGAGAGGGCTGAGCGCATCCGGTGAGGGCTGCGACTCTACTGGAGACGCTTCAGCAGAAGACGACGATTGGTTGGCAGGTGTGGCGGGCATGAGCAGAGAAGGAGAGGACAAAGACGCGCTATTGTGCTTCCGTCGGGAGAGAGATCCCGCCAAGCTTGCATTTCGAGGGGGCGATCGCGACAAGTTTCTAGTCAGACCAAGGGTCTGCCGGGTTCTGCCCATGGGAATTGGCTCGGGGAATTTGCGCTGAACCGGCGCAGGCATGGCGGGACTTGAGCCCGTTTGCTTCACCTTGAGCGCGTCGTCCATTTCGCGAGTGAAGTTCTTCCGGAGCACCGTGAGCCAGGAGTAAAGCGAGACGTTCAAGGATATGTATATGTCGTCTCCTGATCCTCTTGTTGCTCCTCTGAGAAAGCGACTGTAGAAGTCGTAGATCAGGACGATGCGCTTCCCTTCTAGTTCCTCTTCGCTAGTCATCTTGATCCGCATTGCAGGCAAAGCGAAGATAGTTGCCTCAGGAGCCCGCTGGGTAATGAGCTGCATCCATTCGAGGTCGTTCGTAGGCGCTTTGCGAGCGGCCATTGCGTGATTAAGACTGCTGAATCGAGAGATCGCCATGGACGAGAAGGCGAGGCGCAGATCACGAGCGGCCAGCTTGCCATCTGCTCTGACTATGCGTTCCAAGCGTGCCTGTACCTCCCGCCCGGTGAATTGAGCCATGTCCGTATCCCCCATCGTCCTCGGGAAGAGATTGAGACGTAGGGTTCCCAATTGCAGGCTTAGTTCCTGTACGACTTCGTACGATATTGCCCTCTCCGCTTCCTTGAATCGGTTGCGGGCATTTTGCAGTATGGCGTTGGCGACAGCAGACAGAGGGTTGTCGGGCTTGGGCTGACGCGCTACGCGGAACGCTTGGGATTCGCGGCTAGCGCCTTCTCGCTGGGCAGCAACGTTCGCCTTGAATTTTTCGACATAGGAAAAGAGCTTAGGCACTGTGCTGACAGTAGCCGTTGCCACAACTTCACTTCCGACGACTAGGAATGATAGTCGCAAGCGCCTGTCGCGCTGAGGTCGACGCGACGAGATGAGCGACCAATCATCGTATACGAGGACCTTGATGGGTTCGGCACTGAAATTCGTAGCATGTCAATAACGGTGATGACCTCAAAGGCGCGAACATACCGGTATTGCAATAACTTCTGATGTTCAGATTCCAGTGCCAAAGTGAAAGGTCCACTAGTCAGGACAAGCTCCAGCATCCGATTCTCGCCAGCAAGATTCGCGTCATCCAGAACCTCGCGCCTTCGTACCGTTTGGAACACAAAGTCGGGAACAAGAGCAATGCCAGAAATGTTACCATTTGGAGTTATAGAAACTTCTGAGATATGCAGTGATATCTCTGCCACGGCACTGGTTAGCCTTGTCCGGAAGGTCGTGTTGGTAAGGTCCAAGTGGATGTTACTGATGGAGTGGCCGAGGTCAACAGCAAGCTTTGTGCGCCGCACACGCACAAGAATGACCGTTGCAATTTCAGAACGAGCTGTCTTGGAGGATGGACTGGACGATGGTAAATCAATTGCAGGTTTGAAAGGCGTTGCGGGAGCGGCCTGGCTCTGGGTACCGAAGGTAGGGATGCGATCCAGCCAGACAGCCTTGAAACAGAGCATATCCTGCAGCCGAGATAGTCGAGCAGAACCGGAGAACTCTGTATTTATGACTAGGGAGAGAGAGTTGCCTCTCTCGCTCAAGCGCGCGAAAGTGGCTGAGAACGCCAGGTCGCGAGCATGCAGCTGTATGCAATCTTCGCTCAAAAACCCATGCTTCAGCCCCACTGTCAGTCCGCCAACGTCCCCAGTGAAAGCAATCCGATGGGCTCCTGGCGATACACTGAGCACAAAACCTCCACTTTCCCAATTCAAACCCGCAATGACATTGACATCCGGCTGGCATGTCAGCTCTAATTTTGATCGATCTATCCGGAGGCCAAATCTGATTTCCATAGTCATAGGCGTGGTTCTGTGGGCAGAAGCATCATCGGTCGTTGTCTCCGTTCTAGGGCGCTCCGATGGCGGATCTAAGGATGGTTCCCGCCAATGCTCCTTCCGGATCCGAACCTCCAATCGATCATTGAATTCAGAAAGGAAGGGCAAAAGGGTTGGACGGATGACATTCTGGCTGGAGTGCACTGTGCTCTTGAACGTTAATGTGGACACGCTAGCTCCACTTCCACCCGAAGCGGCTACCACAGTCGATGCGCGGTACTCTCCCCAAACGGTAACTTCGGGGAGCCTGAAGACCTCGGGACCAGAGCTCGAAAGACGGTGGCTTTCATTGGACAGGACCGTGATCTTTGACAGCGTCCTGGCTGCACCCGCAGCTGAGGCACTATACAGCCTCACTTCGCCACTGCGGAACTTGAGAGAAGCTACAGCGTTCGACATTGGGATAGCGCGTGGATGACGGTCGCTCCCGTCCTGCGAGTGGGCGGGGGATGTGGCTGGTGAGCTCATGCGAGGGAGATGGGCCGTTAGCTGAGAAACGCGAGATTTCCCCTGTTGGTAGACATCGACCAGCGAAAACACATAGTCTGGCAATGACGAATCCATGTCGACGATGAACCCGCTGACCTGCGCACTTAAACGCATCCTTCTTGACGAATCAACCTGCTCAAATCGCGCTTGCGCCGTGACCTCGGGGTAAAGCAGCCTGTTGAACGTCTTATGCGATGCGGATACGAAATCGCCTGCAGCACTCTGACTGAACCTGGTGGAAGATGTCTCAGTGCGGGTAGCAAGCGGGTTTGTGTCGGGATATACACACCGAGGAACAAACTGGAAGCAAAACCCTTTCATAGTCGCCTGTCCACTCTCGCCATGCTCCGAAGCGAACACAAGCGACGAGACCGTGAATAAGAACGCAGGCACGCTTGACACTGTCTGATCTTGATTTTGCGGTAATTCAAGGTACAGGTCCAGCGACAGGGGAAAAGCAACTCCGATGTTTCGAACAGAGAAATCGACGGAATATTGGTCAATCCATGAAGCCTGGTCTTGTTGAGGTTCCTTTTTTATATCAAAAGTGCGCATGACGTGTTGTGTCTTCTCTTTGAATTCTGCTAATTGGTGAGCTCGATGTTCCTGGCGCTCAGAGATCTCCGTCTGATATGATATGTATGAGCACTCGATTAGTTACGGCGAGCTAGTTGCGCACCTGTAACTGATCCACATAATCAGCGAATTCACCTATGGAACTAGGTTGCATAACCGCATGGATCTTTGGTATCGCAATCTGAAGTATGTGACCACCTGCAGGAGAACGTCCGCTCAGCAAGTTTACTTGGACATCCATGTTGACGAAAGCGGATCCATGGGTTCGCCTAAGACCAGGGTCGAGTGTCCTCATCCGAGCGCCGGAAGATAAGGACAACGCCAAATTTGACAGGTGAAGCTGCAGCACCCGTCCCTCTTCGTTGTTGGCGCCGCCGTTGATGTCTTGGCATTCCAGGAATATAGTCGAGGTCAATCCTTCCATTCCAACGCGGAAACCTCGCATCTTCAAGAAACCCGCATATCTCCACTTTTGTTCCCTTGATGTTTGGGTACCAACAGGGGAATGAGAGGAGGGTGCAGTCTTCCGACGAGTTTGGGCGATGAGTGTGACCAAATCCTGGAAGTCATTACCGAATTTCTGTTGAACAGCCAGCACTGTATCCCAATGCGATGGTTTGATAGTGACATGGAAGAATTCCACGGCCATCAGTGCATATAGTCCTGCATCATCAAAGCGTCCGGAGACCGAAAGTTGAGGAAACGCCAACTTGACTCGGGTGGTGGGATCATGATCGTCCGGAAGATTTTCACGCGACGCGACGCTGAGCACCTGTGACCCAACTTGCAATCCAAAGAATCGTAGAGAGGCTCGTCGTGGGTTTGGTGATGTGTGTAAATATGCCGTCGTGGAGAGAATTTCCCAGGAAAGCCAAGTTCCAAGCATCACCTGGAGGGTCGTGCGGATTGACGTAACCGATAGCTGGAGCTGCAGCGAAACACGTTTTGGTTTCTTGGCGTCAACACCGACGGAAAGCAGGGACGGTTTGTGGATTTCTACGATCATGTTGTCCATCATTTGCTGTAGCGGAGGGAGGTATGTGGATCGCCATTCCTCGACGAAACGATATAGACGGATCGCACTCCGAGGTACTCTGAGTTCCACACCATGGAACCCGACCATAATCCGCCGAACTTCGGACGATCTCTGGGTATCTTGAATAGCAACGTTTCCCTTGCCGTCATGGAACTCGAGGGATGCAAGGATGTCGCGCTCTTGCTTCGTATGACCGTCCGTTGAGCGGCCGCGAAGGAAGATGTGCCCCAGAATGATCGACAATGAAGTACTTCTTTGCAGATCCTGGATTCGGTTGGGAAGATGGGACGAGGTTGTACCAGCGAGCAGCAGATTGCCCATCCCAACTTCACAAATCAGGTTCGCTGCGGCTGCCTGCAGTCTGAAAGATGGAACGGAAAGTGTAGCCTCGATGGTATATGGGTGAGTGCTATCCGCCTTGAGAGACGACGGCGAAGGCGTCGGTGCCGTTCGTGGTCGGCGAAGTGCTCGAATGACATGAGGGATGAAGTCAAGAACATGGGGCACAATCGTGACAGTGCTATCTCCCAACGATACACAAAGGGCGACGAAGTCCATCCTGTCTTCACCAGTGGCGCTTGACGGTCCAGATGAAGCCTCGGGTTTCGTAGATACGGGAGTGTACCGCGAGCTTCGCTTAGTTGCAGAAATTACGATTGGTCCGACCTTCAAGCCGCAATCTGGCTCCCCTGGATGGCCTGCAAGGGAAATGTACATCGTCGTTACTGAAACGTCTGCTGATCTCAATGGGGAGCTTCGGTGATCCGGACGTCCGAAAGGATACGCCTTCCCATTTGCGTCCCCGCCGAGCGACAGTGCAGAGAGCAGCGGCAGGCGCGCTGTGACGACTGCCTCCGGATCGGGGGCAAAGTTCTGCAGCTGAACGTCCAGCAGGGAAGATATATCATGTTGTTCAGCTGGCGGTGTGGACGCAGATCCCTGCGGCTGTGAAACGTCTAGAATGGGCAGCAAGTTTCTGAGGTGGATCAAGACCTTGAGAATGGTGTCCGTGCGAAGGCGCTGTGGTAGACCGGACTGGACTAGATAGGAGGGTTGTGTCGTAGAAAAGGGATCCACGAATGGTCGTTCGGTCGCGTGCGCAAGAACTGTCCGAATGGTACGCCAGCGGATCGCGAAGATGTGAGCGCGCAACTGACTATACGCGCGGGTCAATAGCCTGCTATGCTCAGCAAGTGCTGTCGCTGAAGCTAGCAGATATCTAGGCGTATCGTGCCTCGATCTCGCCTGGATGCTCCCGAAGAAGCCCCGGATATGAGAGTCCTGGTAACTTGCGGAGATCTCAGTCGCGTTGACGCTGACGAGAGACGGGGTTCCATGCTCCCTACTTCCGCGGGGGGCTGCCGGAGGGCAATGGACATCTTGGAGTTCAAGGGAAAGTGAACGAACGCATACACCCATCGATACAGAAGGTTGCTGCTTATCGTGGCGCACGATAGTTCCACTGGCTGTCACGTTCCCCAAAGAGACATGGAGTGTCGTAACGTCCTCTTCAGGGAACTGCGTAGGATATGGCTGCTCTTGTGTCCCCCTCCCAGAGCTGGGTCCAAAATCGGCAGCGGACAGATGCTGCAACAACGTCGCATTGACGGTGGAGATGCCGATTTGAAACGCGAACGTTGGCGACGACGGTGCATCGTTCAGGGAGTCCACATGGGACATAATCAGACCGTCGAAAATGATGTCCGGGCGAGTTGTCTGGCACAGAAGTCAGCGGCAAATACCTAACATATGACTTATCCATCACCTGGTCCCTAAAGTCCTGGCATAAGCCCTCAACTACGGAGAGTACCCTCGGTGTGTAAAATGCGGCAACATGGGAGCTAGTTAAGCGAAGAAACGTCTTATCAAGCGACTTCGTGTTAGAAGGATCGGTTGGACCAGGGACGCGTTCGTCGGTTGACCGTGCAGTGAATGAGGCGAAGTAGGGGTTGACCTTATATGAGTCAACATTTAGTCAGTGCAACCATAGAACAAGCGCTCTGCTTACCTTTGTCAAGGAGAACCCACGGCCAGCCCATAGCGAAGGCGGACGATTCGCCGCTGTCGTATAATGTGCCGTCAAATAGATATACTTCGCGTCGGATTCAAGTTCATGACCCTCAGAAGAACCTGAGGCATGTTAATTAGGCCAATGGCAGACAACAAGCCTGCTACAGATTTTTCCTGTGCTTACCGTTGAAACAATCTGACCAATGCTGAGCGGAGCCACTCGCATCTGTCAAGCCGTCATCATCCGATTCATCGCCGCTGTACGTGTCATCGTCATCTGCTACTACATCAGATACTATCGTCGGTCGTGTTCGCCTGCATAGCGTGGTTGAAAACTTGTAACAAAAGAGTTATGGAGTCTGCGCACGCTAAAATTGTGTCCATGTCTTTTTTACCGCTTTCCTCCCCAATGTCCGAGACTGAAGACGCACTGGCCAATGACGCTGGCCGGGCGAACACGGGCCGGGTGGTCCTTGGCTGTACCAGGACAGGGTTCTGAGAAACAATGGGCACGCGAGGGTAAGTGATGTGCAATCCACGCTTGAGTTTTGATAAGGCTGTGTTTCAGAATCAGTGATAGTTGAACTCTGTCAATCTGTCACATACCTGGGCACGCGTGGGGAGGACACGACTCTTGCGAGCTCAGATGCGAAAACACATCCGTCAGACGACCGGTGAGGTCATCCTGAGCCAGGAGAAAGCCTGCCTGAGCTTTGGCTTTGTCGCGCCAGCCAGGCGGTGATGTATATAAGTCGAAGTCCACATCGATGGTTAATACTGCAGCCTCCAACCACAGGTTGCGAGAACGTGTCGCTGACGAGAAAGCTTGGACCGACATGGGTGGCAGTTTTGCCGAAGTGACCTTCTGATATGATTCGGTGGATAGATCGTTGCTCTGAAAAGACAAACCACATGGCAAATCAAACCGAAGAGCGGCATCGCCAGCCATCCAGGTCACATCAGCTGATTGAACCGCCACACGTAGAAATGTCACTTCGGGGAATAGTGAATATCCCCAGCCCGGCAACCACTGGATCATAGTGGCTCACCGTCTGGATCCGCAGGAATAGCATACTCGGCTGCAGGGGCATTGAAAGGGTCTGAGAACCCCGCGTGAAAGACGTTCATCGCCGCTGAGAGTATGGCACTTTGATCGGCAGAAACCGAGGCGAGGATGGAGCCGAACTCGATTTCCCATATGCAAACATAAGTCGCCGTTCGGGGTTGAGGACCGAAGAGCTTATGTGCAACAATTTCCATGCCTGAACATGAGGTTAACGACTATATGATCCGGATCCCATGAAGATGTGCCTCACCATCCACGACGAAAACTTCATCGCTACCTGCGATGAGAGAGCCAAGATCGACGAGAGAGCGATAATGATTGACAATGCCGCCTTTCACTTGATGAATATTGAGCGACATTTCTGTCTTAAAGTGAGTATCGAAGTCCCGTAATACGAAGCAGCAACATATACCCATCAAATACTCGTGTGTACGAAGCTGGACCTGGAACGTCGGAACCTCGAGAACGACAATACTGTTTGAAGGGGGCGATGTAGTGTCGACTCCGTCGGCAAACCGACCACAACCTTGCAACGATGTAGGCATGATGACTGCGTTGTTCTGCGCTTCGAGCTGTACCTCGACTTGTAGGATATTAGACTGAGATAAATCCAATGAGAAGATGAAACCTCCGGTCCCTGACGCGAATTGGCATCGGGCCTTACCTTGTTTGGTCGATACTGAAGTTCTATTGGATCGCCGACAGGTACGCCTTGATGCCATTTTCCTATGCTTTCATATAGAGTTGAGAAATGGGTGAAAGAACCAAAGTAATTGTCTCGTAGTATCATGAGGTAACGAATAGACCATCCATGTGCCTTGTAAACCATATTCTTCGTCTAACACCGGGAATAAGTCAGCGAATGTAAACATGTGCGGTAGAGCATACTCACAGTGAAGCTGAGCTTCAACTGTTCGATATTGTTGTCCCGAACTTCCGCGAAATATCGGTATGATCCATCTAGACGCAGAAAACCAATGGTGCCGATCTCCCCTGCGTGCGCATCGCCATCCATACTATGAGTGTTCCATTTCGGTAAAGTGAGATGAACGGCAACTCCCGGCGATTCTATCCATAACGGAACAAGGGTGCTTTCCGGACGAAATCGATTCATCGCCAGTTGCGTTTCGTTCCGAAAGGAACCCCCACGCAAGGTCAGAAGAGCTGCAAAGGATGGTGAATAGGAGACTGAGGCAGCATGGTGGAGGGCTAACCATTCTCATCCCGGAGGAGTGGTTTGTCGATGATGTTCAGATCATTGACATACGCATTAATCTCATAGTTGCGCAGGTCCATTTTGATGGCATAATTCATTGGAATGAAGCGGTTAAGGTCACTAGGAGGTCCGTGAGCCCAGTCCTTGGAAAGATCCGTGAACATGTTAATGTGGTCCCTGAGAAGGTACAGTCTTGGTTGGCGCAGAAGTATTTCGAAGGTCCACTGTCTTTCCGCTTGCCACCGAAGCGGGGAAGGAAGGTCGCATCGTACCTAGAGTACAACTTCATTAAACGGCAGTGAGCGCAGAAGTCGGAATCGCGTACCCTGCAGGATTCAGAAGAGAGGAGTCTGATGTCGTTCAAACTCGACGTGACTGATACATCATCAAGATGAATTTCAAGCTGTGGCTCGTATCCGTTAGGTCCAGCGACGAGGGGCATTATGTAGCTGATTGTTGATCCATCCCCTACTCGAAGGTTGAGATTAGCGGGGGATCTCCGCTTGGGCCTAGGGATGTCTGATAAACCATCCCATTGCCAATCCTGTAGACATTCTATAAGCGCTCTTTTAAAAGTACGAAGGGGGGATCACCTTCGAAGGTTCTCTAAAAGGGACATGAAGGACGGTCCCATCGCGGAGTTCCACGAACAGTTTGAGAGTTGTCCAGATGCGTTGGTCTCCTGGTTTTAACTGGGGTGTGACTTGAGCGTCGAGGTACGTAGGCGGGAAGAAAACCTTCTGAAGCTCAATTCTGCGCCTATCCGCCCAGGGACCATAGCGCAATGTCCCTCCTCGTATAACAACATCAAGACCCCACTCGGGTGGTAGTGCACCGTTTCCGATGTCATAGTTCTCCTCGCCTGCAGGGGTTGGGTCGTCCCTCACTGCGGGAACACGACCAACCGCGTCAACGTAATACGAGATCTCTACGATCGGTGCTTCCAAAATGTGACGTTCGATCGCGTATTCGACCTCGGAGAAATCGATCCCAGGGGGATGCTCGTCGTCCACCACGTTTGATCGTCGCCCTCCCAGACGTTGTCGGAAAGTCCCGTTCGTTGGAGCCGTCTGCACCGGGCCCAGACGGGCGGACCTGCGGATTGACGTCGACGTGTGTAGGTTCAAGCGGCGCCAGAGCTTGGCAAACGATCCATAAGACAGGCTCGATGCCCAAGGAAACCTAGACCTTACGAGCAGATCGTCGGTTCGCTGTATGTACGGGTTTACCACTTGGCTGGCTCACCTTGTATGTTTGACTTTGTGATACAACTCGCGGCCCACGACGCTCATGGGAGCTTGATATGCATCATTCTCCAGCATATGAATCCGAACTTCATGAAAACTCAAGTTGACATTCTGTTTGTACTTGTCGCATATGGATCTAGACTTGTGCGGTTGTTTTAACCGTGATACCAGGATGCGAGCAGAAAGAAGTAAACACACCGGTACGATCCCTGCGACTCCTTCCGCTTTCCCGAATTCGACAACAAGGATATTTGTCGTGGATGCGTTTCCACAGGTGACTGCAGCCTTGGAGACTTGGATTTGAATGGGCAGGAGATCTTTCGGGTCGAGCCTCGGAAGTTGGCCATAGAACCAGTCCGCGAGCCTGTCAAGGAAACGTGGTACGCGACGGACGGAGGTCGGAAGCGTCGAAGAAGGAGGATATAACATAGTACCTAAGCCTTCTTCAGCGCTATTCTTCGGGGATAATCTAGTTTTCAATACCTTGACGTGATATAGGCTTTGCAAATATATCCTGCAGAGGGGTTGCCTGACCACTAGGACTCATGGCAGGCGTGTTAGGACGGTTACGGGCGCCGAGTTCAGAGACGATATAGTCGTAGGCGGGTATGCGGTTGTACATGAACCACTCGAGACCCTCGATTTTGAATTGAATACGGCATGGGAAAGGCCTGAACGGGTGTTTTTCTAGTGCATCATTTAAATACGCTTGTATAGAGCTAACATGCAGAGCAGCATACCAATGACATCTTCCCCTACTGTGCGCAAATGCTGGAGGTCGTCTTCACCCATGGGTCTTCGAATCCAATAGCGCCACTCGATCCTACATCGCACGATCTTGATCGTCTGGTTACAAGAATGGTAGCGCAGGTCTTTGAAAGAGATCCTTCCTGCAAGGATAGAGAAGTGCACCGAACCTATGTATATACATTTTGGATGAGTAAGGTACGCTTTGGACAGCTGCATCCCTCGAGAAACTACGCACCGAAGCTAACCCACACGGCTGTGCCACCTTGATTCCAAGTCCAAAGTCGAAGCAAGACACTCAGCAAAAAGCCAAGAACTTGGTTCCAGTAGAAAAGATAGATGATGATTCCGAGCGTTATGAACAGACAAACTACGAGGAGGATGTGGTTCAACATGGTGATTGCAGCCTGGGGCTGGTCAGTTCCTTGTGACCGTAGCTGAGCGTTGCTTTACGGTCGAAGTGGCATCTGGTGTATTGACCGTGTCGTCAGAAGATGAGGTATGCAGGCTGAGCACGTCTGCCTTTGCCAGCTTCGAGAGGCGGACGTGCGCTTCGGCGCGGTGACGGAAGAGCACGTGAAGCAACCGGAGTACGCGCTCCTCGGAGTCTCGACGGAGTCCTCAGCCTGCAGCCTACACGAGCCTCAGCCCCGACGTCGCCTGCTACGATGACCGCCAAGGCAGCGTCAACTACGTCCCTCACACCTTTGCGCCGACTTGCCCAACATTCAACGACGACATGTGCTACACAGGCCTCGCAATATGGCAAATGTATCCTTGCTCAATACACCGATGTTCGGAAGGATGCATGCAAGGATGAATTCGCAAAGTTCGGGGCATGCCTGAGAGATGCGGCGAGTGCTATCTACCTGATCGCGAACATGCCCCTCATTCGTGTCGCGGTGTGGTGCAGATGAAACGCAAGTGGTGAATCCGGTGACGTGCACGCGATCCTATCCACCGGACGCGCTCGTTTATGGACGTACCATTCGCACCTCGAATTCTTCACAATATATATGACCTGATCCTGTCACAACCCCCCCCCCCCCCAGCTGTAGTAACATTATGCGACGTCAGAGCTGATTAACTGAATCGTAGAGTGCTATGTCATTGATCGATCGCGCCGGGCAACGTCCGTTGGTCTGCATCAGAGGGAATACCGTCGGATGGGCTGCGCCTGGATCTCCTGAACTCTCCGCCGCGGGTCTCCAGTCGCGCTCGCATCTCCTCCCGCCTAGCACGAGCCCGTAAAAACCAGCCAATCGGTCGGGAGGGGTCGAAAGTCGGTGCTGTGTTCGGGAAAGGTAGAGCTTGTCGTGTGTCAACCGAATTGGCTGAAGGAGGATGTATCAGCCGAGTCCATATCGTCTTGAGGCGGAGGTCAACAACATATGGCGAGACTGGCGCGTCATAAGTGAAATCAAGCGACTTGTTTCTGTCGTCTTGATCGAGAAGGTGGTGTGATTCCTCTGCGTGCGACGACGACGGCTGCGGGGTTGCCGGGGTCTCCATGGTGGATAGCACGGCAGGTGCGAGTGCGTCGGGGAGACCGGGAAAGTCGTTGGCAAATGAAGTCTCATACGCGACAGTGACAAGCACGGTTTGCAAGAACATGATGAGGAGGTCAAGGAAGAGCAGCTGGGGCTTGCTGGGTTTGTGGCCTGCGATCATGTTAAGATGTGGGCAATCTCCGAGGTGCTGAATCAAATGCGTACCGATCCCAACAAAGTCCAGCATGATGCTGCCCTCTGAGGCGCCCTGAATGGCATGGCTGATGCAGCTGATGTTGACCAGCAAGACCAACGCATACCAAAACCGCAACGACCGTTTCGAATCGATCTCTCGTGGACGCGCGAAGTTGAACTGGGTGATACACCGCCCGAGGTACGCCCATATCGACGGCGAGTAGAAGAAGGACAGGGTGTGCAGTTGGTAGAGCAGGCGGTCAATCTAGTTCAGTCACCGTGAATTTCAAGCACCAGTTTGTGCCACTTGTTGTTACGCACACTATGGATAATGTGTTGTCGTTGGGCATGATGCCGCATGCGCATGACATCGATGTTGCACGGAGAATCTCGAATAACAAAGTCCAAGGAGGTCGAGAAAGAGTTCGCAGCGGGCAGGCGTCACGCTCGGCGTCTCTCCGGCGACTATATTTACGCCACTAGAAGCATAACTCAAGCCTTCCACCATCCGGTCGCACATGTTTATGGTTGTACCGTTCCGTAGTCCCAATATATGTTCATTGGCCTAGTTTTACAGGAATAGTTGCCAACGTATGTCCGTCATTGAGTAAGAAACAGAGCGATCATGGCTCCGAGCGGCAAGCGAATGAAGCACACAACGAAAAACCGAGATCTACATTATAGGCGCAGCGCAATCGTCATGGACGGGTCTTGCGGTCCGTGACCGAACCCTCAGGTAACGTAGCAGAGTCATACATAGGAGGAGAGTCTTCCGAGGGATCTCTTGCAGTATCTCGTGACGGTGGGATGGGCAATGCGCGGACTGTGGGCAGGTTCATTTGCGCATGTGTAGGCGAGGAAGGGCCCAAACTCGCGCGTCGTGAAGCAAGCGTGGCTGGCGTCGTCGTCCTCGGCGGGGGTGACATGCGGTCACGCGCGGTCGACCTTAACGAGTCAACATCGACTTCGGTTCGCTCGCCGATGGTGCTTAACCGATCCTTGTCGCGAGTTGCGAACTGCTGCAAATTCCATGCGCCGCCACCATAACCTTCTTCCGAGTCGCTACCGTCATTATCGTCGTAATGCGATTGCGGGCGACCGCCATAGGGAGCGTAAGGGTCAAATTCCTTGTCGAGGAGGCCATCGCCGGACTGTGTGCTGATGTTTGTGTATCTGTTACGGTTCGGCACTAAGCTCATGCGAGATTGGCGCTTGTCGCGCTTGTGCGTCCGCAGGAAACGATAATATCTTGTGACGACGATTGTAGTGTCTGGGTGGATTGTCAGCTCTGCATTGGAATCGTCATCGGGCGGATGTACTGACACATTTCGACAAGGAGCACTGTTGACGCCACAGCGAAATAAACCCATTTTGCGAATTTCAACAAGCCGTCGCACTGTCGTGGTGTCACCTACATCCGCGCATCGCACGCTCGACTCCACATACCTGATCCTTTGCTTGGTCACTCCTCAGCCCCTCTTTGCACGCTTTAACAATATCGGTGTTTGCGGCATGAACAATCATGTAGAGGAAGTATCCGGCAACAGCACAGTTGATGACCAAATGGAAGTATAGGAAGTAAACGTAGACAATGATGAAGGACTGCTTCTTGACGATTGCTCCTACGAACCTACATTGAGCAGTCAGTCATGGGGCGGCATTCTCATACGGAAACGCACCCTAATATCGACGCCACACACAGCAATGACTCAACAACACCTGCACCCGCGAATACTGCGCGCTCTGATCCGGACATGGTACTGGTTACTGGCATTCGTCTGCGTCAGCGCACCGATACATAAGCATCAAGAGCCCTAGGCTTACCTCTGACTTCATACCATAGGATAACAGAGAGGAAACCTGACAAAAGTAGCGACACGAACGAGATGATCACCACGCCCAGACGGAGAGGAAGGCAGCAGCAGAACGTCCTGCCACCAAAGACGTGTTCTTTCAAGCTGAAGGTCATCGCGTGCGCTCGACGGTATCCGAGGACTGGCGACAGGCCCAGTTGAACGTGTAAGGTATTAGCGAAGCAGAGCGTCGCTTGAGACAACAATCACCGCGCGTTATGAGGACAGGCTCCTTTCGCACGGTACAGCGGAAGGCAGTGCGCGGGCGCTGCGTTGCTACAGCGTGAGCGCAGGTCAAGCCCGCACAACGTCCGCTGTCGCGCTAGCGGTGTGAGATTGGCAGTCCCCACATCCGATGGATACAGGTTCTTTACCTGCAGAAGGGTTGATTGCGGAACGATTGAGCCATGTGACGGGCCAGCGGATCACCAGGTCGCGCGGGTACAGCACGAAGGCAAAAGGGGCAGACCACGCTATTGTGAAAGGAAAGTAAGCCGGGACACAGCTGGAGCCCGGAACAAGATCAGTCCATGAGGTCCTTGCACGCGTAGAATAGCCAAAGTGAGACCTAAAATCAAATTCCGAGGCAGGATCACATGATGCTTCTTCGGCCTCCCTCTGTCGTCGATCGCGTTCCAACAGACTTCATCTGACATCTCGGAAAACCAAGCATGGCCGCCCTTGCATCCTGGAGTTCACCTTCGCAAAATGCCATGGACGTGGACGGAAATCGTCCCGAGGCAGTGTCCACTGACCGCGACCCTATACCTCACATATCCCACCAACGCGCTTCATCGGAGCCAATTGATTTCAGGTTGCCTCGACACAGCATTGGCTATGTGTTCGATGCGCGGATGATGGCCCATAGTTGTCTCGATGGGCACCCCGAACAACCTGAACGTATAGTATCAATATATCGTCTCCTGGCGGAAAACGGATGCTTAGAGAAGATGAAGCACATTCCAATACGAATGGTCAAAAAGCAGGAGGCTTTACTTGTTCATAGTGAAGAACTCTGGGACAAGGTCCTTGCTATATCCAGTTAGTCTGGAGAGCAGGCTACACGGGAGTGTTTGAGCAACTTCATAACCACGTTCTTTTAGGGCTTCGTGCACAGGACATCGAGGATACCAAGCGGTACTACGAGCTGATGTCGCTTTATGTGAACCCACATACCCCATCTGCAGCACGTCTTAGTTGCGGTGGAGTTATAGAAGCAACTTTAGCTGTGGCGCGGGGCGAAGTACGAAAATCGTTTGCAATCGTTCGCCCTCCTGGACACCATGCGGAGCCTGAGGAGCACATGGGCTTCTGTTTCTTCAATAACGTCGCTGTTGCGGTAAGAGTGGCACAGCAACTCACCAAGATCAGGAAAGTCTTGATATTGGATTGGTGAGTATGATCAGATGTGATCGAGGACTCCCGCTCACCCATATAACAGGGATATTCATCATGGTAGAGCTTCTCCTCCCTCGGGGAATCTCCGGAACACTGACGCGTGCTTAGGAAACGGCACACAAAAAGCGTTCAACGATGACCCCGATGTTCTGTACATATCGCTTCATCGATACGACGCTGGACAGTTCTATCCGTCGACCACATTCGGGGCGATGAATTCCTGTGGAGAAGGGCCGGGAATCGGCTTGTAAGTGATCGCACCTGACTAGTAACGCTGGCAGTTCCTTACATTCCATGACACTATTTTGCAACGGGTGTATCTTCCCCGGTACGAATACATTATGCGCGTACCTTATCCTAGCTCAGTGAACATACCTTGGCCTGGTCCCGGTATGCGAGACGCAGACTATTTGCATGCCTTCCAAAAGATCGTTATGCCGATAGCGATAGAGTTCGCTCCCGAACTAGTCATCAGTGAGTTATCCTATTGCACACATCCTATCTTGCTGACTCGTAGTAACAGTCTCGGCTGGGTTCGATGCGGCGGATGGGGATGAGCTTGGCGAATGCCATGTAACACCCACTGGATACGCACATATGACACATATGCTTTCGAGCTTAGCAGGTGGCAAGCTCGTCGTTGCTTTGGAGGTCAGTCACGGCCATCGCCATACCAGCGATCTTGGCTGATCATGTTTGGGCTTCGAAGGGAGGCTACAACTTACAGTCGATTGCGAACTCCTCTCTGGCTGTGGCGAAGGTGATACTAGGGGAAGCGCCGCCCCAGATCGCGCCGATGGTGGCCAGTGAGCTCGGGACAGAGACGGTCTGGCAGGTCGCACGTCAACAGAGCAAGTGGTGGAAAAACGTGGATCCAAAGGCTTGCGAACCAAAATCAGGTCAGGATCATCTTGTTCCCATGCGGAAACAGACGTTTACCTCGTGACAGAGGTGGGCGATATTGCGTATTCCATCCCAGGTATCCATCGTTTCAGTTTCCCATATGTGAAACACCCAATGCTGATGGATTTCCCAGAGATCCTCAAGGCACATCGACAAAGCTACTTGTATGAAACGCACAAGCTCCACACCATTCCCTTACTTCCTGCGTATGAGGAATTGTTCTCCGCCCAGGTCGCGTGCACGTGAGTGTGGCTTCAGTCGATCCTTTTCACGAGAGTTGACCTCTTTCGTAGGGCAGATATCCTTGATAACCCCACGTTGATTGTTTTCGTACACGGGTTGTATGTTTGCATCATCTGCATCTTGAAGAGGGACGAAAATGATTGTTTACGTCAGCGGCGAAATGCGTGTCGAACTTGAAGGTGCCATGACATGTAATATGGATTTGGAACGTTCTTACCTGGTAATTGCGTCGCTTATACGCTACGAAAATACTAAACTGATTTTCCACAGTTAGATGTATCGAAAAAAATGATTGAATGGGTTCGTGTGGAGGGATACGGCCTTATAGACCTAAATATCCTTGAAAATGTCCCGAAGAGCGCGACTCCGGTGAGGTGGCGCGTTTCCGGGACTGCAAGCTTGCTTATGAGTGTGGCTACAGAAGGCCAGGACAGGAACCTTGAACAGAAATCTTCTGACGTATATGTGGGACAACTACATACAGTAATGTCTCTGGATTTCAATGGACAGATTCGCTTCACAAGCACCTACTACAGATTATCAAAGGCGAAGCAAGTGGTTTTGATCGGCCATGGTCCGGGTTGTGACGTAGTCATTGAGACGATCAGCGAGCGGGGTACGCGAGTTCATCGAATGGGATATCACGTCCTAACATACCTTAGCTTCTAGCGTGCCGAAAATAGTGATCGCAGTCATTCAAGTCGTAGGGCTCAGCAAACTGCCACTTTTACCGAAGAAATCTATGGAAATCCTTGGCTGGTACAGAGCTGTGAGTTGACGAGTAGTCATCGTCTGGTCCGGCTTCTTTCTCAGCTCGAGCTAGTGCTCTCAAGTTTTCGTTCCCAAAAATCATCCAATATTTTCAGAGGGAAAAATTCTGGGCAGGCATGGGCATGTCATAGCTAGCGGTACGCTTGCGGTCAGGGTCGATCTCATTTGGCTGATTATTCAAATCTACAGACGAGGAACGAGCTATCAGAATGCTCTCTCTGGAACTGCCGGTCATCCAAGAATTCATCAAGAGCAAACTCGTTTCCGAGGTGGTAGATCAGATGCAATCCGTTGGATTGTCTGATTCGTGACATACCACAACCCCCTACGACGACCACTATATACCTCACACGAAATATACCGCATTCTGCTGAGCTGATGCCACAGCGACAACCTGACTGTCCATGTCGAGCAGATCACCACCTCGAGTAATAACGAACTCTCCCAAGGTCGCCTTCAGACCCAACAATTTTTCGATATTGGTCGTTGCCAATGCCAATGCTTCGGACCTCGATAAATCGGTGGTAGATTCTAATGCAGCCTGAAAAGCGATTTGTAAAGCAAGATAGATGAGTGAAGAGCAATGAGCTTACCCATGCGAGGTTAAGGCGAGTGTTCCGGGCCTCCCACGATTCAGTGACACCGAGGGCAACGGTCACATTGTGCTCCAACAACAGGGACAGGCTCGAGTGCTTGGTCAAAGGTGGTCCCGGAAGTCTGAGTACCGAATCGTGTGTGAGCATCGCACCAAGTACATGGGCATAAACTCATGGCGAAACTCACATCCTCCTCGACTCCCATGTACCAGGGAACGGTCGCACTGGGTTCAACAAAACACCGATGTCTGCCTCCCCGATGTCTTTGGCCAGAAGGTGGACTTCCAGAGCGCCAGAAAACGTGAATTTTAGCCTCTTTCCTGTATTGCCTTCGACCTCTCGCTTGAGTAAAATAAGCGACGTCATGATATCCGCATTTTGAACGTCGATGACGAGGGTGCGATCGCCCTGGAACATGCTCAGCGGATTCAGCTCACGCAGGTCTTTGGTACTCACCTGCACTATCTCGCTGAATAACTTCGCAAGACTTGCATCGGCTTCACCATGCAGCAACCTTCGAAGCGTCGCGATCTGGGTACTGATGCTCGGTCCTGAGTTGCGGTGGCCAATCGCGATATGAAGAGCAGCCTCTTCTTGGATTATCGCTCCTGCCTCCAGCCCATGCGCCGCTCGCGTTGAAAGGACGGTACTCAGTCCTCTCAAGAATCCGTTGCTCTTAGGGGCCGTCACAGCCGCCGTCACCCCTGAACGGTAAGCCAACAAGGCATCCTGAGAACAGTTCAATGACGCTACCTATCTTGTAGGCACTATAACGTACTCTGGTAGCAAACTGTAGGCCATCCACAGCTCTGATAACTGCGTAGTCTCCGCCGACGATCTTTGGAACCGGTCCGCTCAAAGGGTCATGGACCTTAATTGGGGTGATCATTGTCTTTGATTAGTTTACATTCAATGCGCAGAAAGAACCACGCACATTGCCATCCTGAGTCGACGGCTCTCCTCGGATTTCCTCGAGGCCTAATTGGGAACCCACAGATATCAGCCCTGGCGCAAGGGAACCTCCTTCCAGATCTACAATTGTCGCAGTCTGGCTCGTGAAATGGTTGCAATCGTTTTCAGAACTATAGCAAACTAATTTCCCGTCTTCCAAAACCGCAACACCCGTCTGACCGTCAGCGGAATTCATGAGCTGAGAGACACGGGCATTGTCCTGGCCGTAGAGTGTCTTGACATTACGGAAAATCACTCTTCCGGATGTAACATTGTTGACATCCAGAGGAGGGAGACCGTCATACTATATGTGGCATGTTCAAAGCGCATTCGTGTTGTGATATTGGCCACTGACCTCCAAGGTTCGGTTGGCTTCCTTGTCGAAATTCGGCGTCTTGGGAACATTCTGGAAAGCAGGTGGCTTCGTGTGTCCGTGAGCATTCTTGATTTGAGGGATTCCATCAACCCAAACTTGACGAGGAGTTGCGCCTAGCGCCAGACTGTCACGATATGTTCAGCTCACGTCAGTCGCGAAGGGAGTTAAGAGCGCAGATCTCACGGATGCGAGTCCCATACAACGACGTCTGCATCGTGACCTGCCTTGAGGAACCCGACCCGATGATCATACCCCATTATCTGAGTAGCACGTGAGATATTTCGGGAACAAAGCCCAGGAATCAAACGTACCCTAGCTGGCGTCGCGGTTACAGACGCGATGGCCAGGTTGGCCGGTAAGCCATAATAATGTGCTAGTGAGCGTTTGAGTACCTCCTGGAAGCTCGTCGTCAAAGTGTAGCATATACCTTGTTGAGCTTCGAAAAGTAGATGCCGAGAGTTCAATACCGGATGGTCCGACTGCAGCGGCACGGAAGTCAGTTATCGCAACTACTAATGTTGCGAAATGAGAGCCCCGACCTTCATCACGACGTCCAAACCCGCTTCGGCCAAGACCTTCGGGGCGAACTCGCTCCCGCGATATGACTCCCTTTTGTATCGCGCATTCGTGGCGAACATGGCAATGGCGGGAGGGTGTCCTGCATATAGGAACGACTGTCAGCGTCGACCAAATACAAGGAGCACTGGCCTCACCGTAAGCCTCCTTGAGACGATCCGGTACAAGGTAAGTCTCATGAGCATGGTGGAAGGCTACACGCAGGATCAATTTTGTTGTCCAGTCACCGAAACGAAGTATGCAAACCCACCGGCAATCGAGAATTTGAACTCTTGCGTGAGCTACAGAGAAGTGAGTATAGAACAGCGGTGCGTTTGATGAAGATCTCGTACACGGATCATATCGTCGAGATCGACCGTCTCTGAAACCGGCATGAGTATCGCTGTTGCGATGATTGCAATCGACATACTCACCGTAACAATGGTTCTGCACCTTGACCTTGTTCCTCAGGACATCCACCAGGGCTTCCCACTGCAGATCTTCAGGAAATTCGCCCAAACCATTCCATTCTCCGGCGAATGCCTTTTCACAATACGCGTCTTGTTTTTCTTTGATCTGACGAGCATGGTTGTAACTGTTACGAGGGATACGACGTGCGTTACGAGCGTGTAGTTAGGATCTTAGATGTGTCGAACACGCACGCCTGACGCAAACCCCAGAGATTGTCCATCCGCGTCTGATCGTGGACTCGACGGATGTTCTCGCCTGCCAAATCAAACCGTCTTTCAGCCTAGGCAAGAGGACTCTCGGGTATTAACGGACCGCATGCGTGCTTCATCTGCCTCCATCCAGTGCCGTTTGTGAGACCAAGAGGGAGCTCGAGCAGCATAGATGTCGGCGTCCTCTGAGCAGTCGGGCGTAACTTGATGGGGAATGCTTGACCGCCTATCCAGGATATCAGCAACAAGCCACACCGGTCAATAACTGGGCAAAACCTACCAATGCTGTTCGCAGATCCAGGCAAGACTAACGCAGTTGTCACACCACCGGACAAGGAGAGTAAGTACGCGTCATCATGAGTGTTTAGACCATCGAGAGATCGCAACCAGGGCAAGATGGGAGCTTTGCGCGAGTTCGTGTCACCCGCTCCCGACAATGAAGGCGCGGAACCCCTGATGTTCGCTCATGAGAGACTCGTCAGGCATATACAAAGATGGAATGCGTACACGCCGAGATGGGAATGCAAATCGACAATGCTGGTAAGGCGTGAGCTCTGGTCTAATCAGGAATTGCGCAGGAGCCAACGTACCCCGGAGTGACCCAGGCGCCATTGGCTTCATACACGTCGACGTTCTTCAGTGTATCGAAGGCGATCTTCTTGCCAATCCCCTTGATTATGCCATTCTCCAGGAGCAGATCGCCGAGAACAATCTCATTCCCGCCATTGTGTCCCGTCCAGATCGTAGCGTTCCTGATGAGCACCGGCTTTGTGCCAGGCACGAACCTGTCCGAGACCGTGCGGTACTCGAATCCCTCTGGAGGCCCCGGCTTGACAGCGAGGGCTTTGCATTTGGCCAAGTTCTCTTGCGCATGCACAGGAACGCGTACGGAAGGAGTTGAATCGAAGTTGAGTGAAGAGCCAAAGATGTTGGCACCGGCGACAAGAAGTACGACAGTCAAGACAAGTTGAGGCAAGCCGCCAAGACGCAACGCCCGACGCTTCTTCTCGTATGCTCGCTCCGCTGCGACAGCATTCGTAACGGGGAGCTTGAGATCCATCCTTGAGACGGGCGGGCTTGACGAACCAAGCCCTGTGAGCGTATGGATCTCAGGTATTTATGACGGAGGCACGAGATATCATGCCGACGGCATGGATTCCCTTGCTGCATGCTACCACGCGCTCGATATAACGCGCAGCCATTCGCGTCCACATGTCTTCATCAACATCCTCCAAACCTCCAAACCCTCCCGTTGTCATTCCAAGCGCAGGTTCTGGCAAGAACATCATCGTGAACCCCGCACAAGTTCGTATTATCTCCTCTTCACTGGGTCCTCTTCAACTGATTGTCTGCAAACCGTGCAGCGCCTGAATCCCGTACTCGAACACATTCGCAATGTGGGCAAGGAATTCGGTGATATACTCTCAGATTACCAAGTCGGCCGAACAACCGGAGTCCTGTTCCTCAGGTGCGTTTCCTTCTTTCCCTCGACATTATGGCGAAGGCGGGGTCAACGTGGTTTTCGATGCGTAGTCTGAAATACCATCGTTTGCATCCTGAATACATCCATCAACGCATCGAGCGGCTGGGTCATTCATACAGCCTTAGGATACTACTTCTGATGTGCGACGTTGTACGTACTTTCGGACCAAGTTCAGTGTTAAGGACTTCATTGAATGTGTCAGTCAAGAGCGAACATCAAGAACCCATCCGTGAGCTCACGAAGGTCTGTTTGATCAATAACATCACAATCATCGTTGCATGGAGGTTGGTCCATCACTCGCTGTTTGCATCAGGCACTGACTCCAAGATTGGAAACTCTAGTCCTGAAGAGGCAGGCATGTACCTGTCAACGTTCAAGCAGTTCGAGCATCGTCCTCCCGATATGATCAAAGAACGCGTTGACAAGGATTACTTTTCCGTCCTTCGTAACTCGCTTACGAGCATCAGCAAAGTCAACAAGACCGACGTCGAAACCCTGAGGACATCATTCGGCGTACGTTTACCGACACGGACTTCAGACTATCAGCTCCCCGCCCCCTTCTTCTAACGTTGGCTTTCTTTTATGACTATTATAGAGCTTTGCCCGAATTGCGTGTGCGTCATCGGATCAGCTGCAGAAACTTCCTGGGTTTGGCCAAGTCAAGGTTCGGCGGATCAAGGATGCGTTCGAGAAACCGTTCCGGCACCACGTCACCGACTCTGTGCCCACCACGAATACCTTGCGAAGCGTTGCACAATCTGAATTTCGAGCTGACGACGCTGCAGCTCAGACTCAAATTGACGAGGCTTATGTAAGGCCGTCAACGTCGACAGCCTCCACCTCGGCACCTCGCCCACCACGCCCACGTTCCCCGGATTGGGACATGGAGTTTGACTCGTTGCCAATAGATGACCTGGAAGCTCTATCTGACCAGCCCGGCCCGCGTCCTTCGCGTCCGGAGGACTCAGTGCGTGACACTGCAGCTCGGAGAAAACGATCACCCTCGCCGATCTGGGACCTCGAACTTGATCTGAATCCATCGGACGAAGAAGGGCCGCCGCCGAAGAAACGACCAAAGGGACCAGACGCCGATGCAGAGACCTCGTTTGGTTCCAATACCATCCTTACCAATGATTCGTGAGGTGAACTAAGCAGGCGCCGTGCACGGCGAAATTGTAGTCTTATTCAAATCCGTAGACTGCGAATCGGATTCGCATGACTGGATAAGGCGTCAGAATGAATGAAACATTCCGCTCACAAGGCGTGGTTAGGATTTATCCTGAGGATTTCGTATGTGGCATTTGTCGTACTCACGCTCATTCCTGCCGCGCAGTGCATCACCACATCCTATCTGCCTTTCATGATGCATGTGCAATGCAGGCCCATCAAAGGAATTGACGAGACTGAGATTACGGAGCAGTATGATATTCCCATCTATTATGCCGTTTCAATAAGTTATCTGCGTCAGAAGCACGGCGATCATTCATGTGTCGGCTTGAGGCCCGGCGGCTGTACTCAAGAAATCTTTCAAGGTCTTCCCTTTGCGCGAGCCAGGACCGGACTGCAACGCCCAATCTCTCTGGAAGTACACGCGCATTGCCAACCGTTGAAGCGCTGATTTAACCCGAGATCGATCGAGGTGCGCGGCCCTAGTATCCGCTGAAGAACCGCATATTAGAGTGTGTTCTGTGGATGAATGCGCACTACGTACCTATCTTGGAATGCACCTTCATCAACGCGTCTCTGACGGATTGTAGAGGAGTAGGGATCGATGTGTTGTTGGCGCCGCCAGAAGGCGCAGACTCCCCATGAGCAATTATCTGCCTTTCTTGATCCATGTATTCCTCAAGTCCGGTCAAAGCAACAGATAGAATATTGACGAAGCAGTTGAGAGTCTCGTAATTGGTCTGCTGGTCCAGCTTGAAAACACTGTCCGTGCCAAACGACGGGATGAGTAACTCGACCAAAGGCATCAGTTCTGGCAGACGAGCCTCCATCGGCTGCAATTCCATATTAGCGTTGTTTGAGCCTGCAACGAGCCGCATTAACTAACCTCAGGCAGAGAACCAAGCAGGAAAGCATGCGCCGTCCACCTTGCGATTCTGCCGCCACCGGCAGTCGTAATCGGCAAGACGGAGAGCAATTCGACTTTGCGCCTAGGAGACAGTTTGAATTTGTTGGCGAGCTGCGTAAGCATCCTTGCGGCGTGGATAATCTACAGGGCGTCGCTTGAAAACCACAACGATGACGATGCACCACGGACACTCACCAGCAGTGATCGCGCTTCTGGCTGTAAAGGCAAGCACGCGCAGACTTGCTCGATACAGTCAGTTAGTTGAAGGCGAAGGTGAGCTGTCGAGTGGCAATCTAATGCAATTGATGCGAGCATGGATACCATGTTGGGAACGTCCCCTGCTTCGATGCATCCATTTCTGTGTGCGGCATAATATTAGCGTCTAAGCGTGAGCTGGCCGTCAGTATCGCTTACTTTGCATATATTGAGACAATGGACGTCAGCCGACGTAAAGCCTCCGTCCGGGTGGTCACGTCTTTCACTTGTGCACCGATCTCATGACACGGAGCACACTCCCAACCCATCTCTTCCATTACAGATTTTTTCAAGCCCAGATGTACCGCCAATGTAAGCAGATCCTGGGACCTGAAACACAGCTGATCCCGAACAGTAGCAAGAGCTTTCAAGTTGTCGAAAGCGAGATCACTGAGAGGGTGCCGAGGGGAATATAAGGCTAGAGTACGACACCAATCAATAACAGATACCAACATAGCCAAGTAGTAGCGTATGTGAAGCTTACCGAGCCTGAGCAGCCATTGGAAGACGCATCTAGCGGGACCCGGGCCATCCACAGCAGAAACGACAAGCCCCGATCTGAGGAGAGCTTCTACCTTCGCTGTCTCTATCAACCATACAACTCAAATCAGTATCTGAAACAGCGGTTGTGCCGATGCCATACCTCCATCTACTGTAGCCTGCGAAAGCGATCGGAGAAGCGGTGACGTGCAATCATCGCAGCCGGACAGACGAGGAAGTCCGTGCTGGGTAGAATTAGGGTCTACGAGGAATTCATCTTGCCAAATGGACGTCAATGCGTCGTCTGAATCGTTGGGTTCTTGCTGCTGCCGCAAGGTCTCTTGCTGATCTTCCGAGAGCATTTTCTGGATGATATCGACCTTACGTGACCCCGACGCATGTTGCTCATCTTCGCCCTCGTCCTCGTCTCGCACATGATTGCGCTCCGCGCCGCGCGTCTTCGCTGGGGGCGACACGTCATCATCGTCCCACTGCATCGTGGACCACTTCTTCGCCGCTTCTAGTGCTGCGTTGTGATCGCTCGGTCCCCCCTCTCCCTCTTGACCTTCACTTCCCTCACCGTCGTCCGCAAAGATGGCGGCTCGGAGACGGGCATCCTGCCCTTTGCCCTTGGAATCGGCGGCCTTCTTCTCCCTGATCAGCGCATCCAGCGGATTGGAAACACGCGGTTTCGCTCGTGTCTTAGCGAGCGCATCGCGGGCGGGTACAGGAGGCTGAGGGAGTGCGTCTCTGGACAACCGGATAGAGGCACGAGTGCGACGCGCAGGAACTTCCGCCGTGACTTCGTCCTGAACCGGCGAAGAATGGACAGAGGTTGGGTCGGTGGAAGGAGTGCCATTCGCAGAACGATTACGGAGATTGTAGCGCGGCGCGGTGCTGGCGGAAGTAGAAGTAACCTCCTCCTTCGGCGGCAACCTGTGTAGATCGCAGGTCACTTCTTGCGCATCTTCGATTGGACGACGAAGAGGCTCACATGCGTTTATTTCGGAGCTCAGCGAACAGGTCGACTTCCACAGAAGCTTCGCTGCCTGCCGGTGATGCGAAGGAACTCGCTAGCGGACTTCCACTCGAGTCACTGAGCGCGAACGTCTTGATCGCATTCGCTTTGATCCCCGCGATGATATCCGCCGCTTTCGTGACGTCGTCCATCTGTACCGGAGTTGCAGGCATCGGGATTGGAGCAGAGGACTCCGAGACGGGCGTTGTCGCACGCGCGAAGTCGTCTATGGCGTCAAAAGAGACGCCTGGTGACGCAGGCCTGGCCAGATAAGCGCCGACCTCAGCTGACGAGGCGCCAACTGATGAATTGTCGAAGGGGAGGAAGGGTGGATCCATGGCCGTGTCCATATCCGCGTCCACATCTACGGCCGGCTCAGGCCAAGGAAGGACGACGTCCGAGGGTTCCGGCTGAGAGGACTCCAGTCTCCACTGCTCGACGCTTTGCTTCACCTCCTCCGGATCTTTGAGTAGGAATCGCGGAAATACAAGCTCTTGCTCATCAGATTGACTGCTCGGGACGCGCAGCTCATCGCGATCCGGGACCGGAGGGCGCAGATGACACGACGATGGAGCAGGCGGCGGATTGAGGCGACGCTTTTTGCTGGAGGACGTCCGACTTGAGTTCATCGACACGTTTTCCTTCGGCGTCGACGCGATCGGGGGCGTGTTGATTCCGATTCGAGGGATTGAGCCACGAGAGACCGTCGATCGAATGCGCACGATCTCCTTTGGCTTGTCCTCCCTCTCCGAATCGCTCTCGCTCTCGAAGATCTTCTTGCGCTTGATCGGGGAAAGTGGCTTCAGTACGCCACGACGGGGCGTCGCTAGTATATTCGAAGTGGAGGGAGTGCGCAGGCATGACGCTGTGGCCGGTTTGGACCGAGATGGGGTAAGGGAGAGTTCGCGGATCCGCTCGCTCCGCCTGGGCGAGGGGGAACTGGTTCGCGTGAACTCTGCGAATGCAAAGCGCCGCGGGGTACCAGGCGATTTGAATGGCGATGAACTCATGGAGGTAAGCGACGATGATGGCCATATATTTGAGCGCGGCTTGTCCTCGTCCTTGACCTCGACAGGTCGTGTTGGATTGTGACTCGAGCTGCTGCTGATAGTGACGTGTGACTGCGTTCCACTGCTGATGGAGATGTGGGATCGCGTCCCAGAGGAAACAGAGATAATTTCCTGGTCTGGCTTCGGGCCGTCGGTGTTGGTCTGGTTCTTCTTCCTCGGAGATCGTCTTCGCGTTTTTGTCGGCGTTGACGGAATTGGATCAGCTTTTGCCTTGCCCTTCGACGCGGAAGATCGCAAAAACGAAGACGAAGGCGCGCCACTGCCCCGCGCAGAGAGACTGTCACCTCGTACAGGGGATGAAGACGGCGCGACGCTGCTCCTTGTGAAGAAATCGGTGATGCTTTTGTTCGCCTTCTTGTCCGTTTTCTTGAGAGATTTGCTGGACATATCGTCCACGATGTTGGGCGGGTATCAGCCGTCGTTGTCGTCGTCTGTAGAAGTCGATGATCGAGCGCTCAGACAGGGGCGCGCCGTCGCGCCGAAGAGATTCGTGAAGGTGCGTCAACCCGGGCACGTGCTTTCAACCCACCGCGTCGTCTCGGCCGCGGCGCGTTGTCGGTGGCAGCGCGAAGCTCATGCATCTTATTCTCAAACGTAGCCCATGCAGGCTGATCAATGCATCTTCGAAACACTACTCTTCCCGCTTTAATTCGGCCGCTGAAGGTCCCGGCGCAGGTTAGTGTGCTCATGCATTCAGAGCTGGTTACTTTCTCCCCTATTCAACCACTCCCTTAGCTTGGAACAAACCCATATTTGCCTCAGATGTTGTGACAGAACGGAAATCAGCTTTCCTCGCGCATGCGGCCCAAGTGGACTCCTCAGCAGATATCCAAGCGCTGGTTGATCACCTGCGCACCAGCACCACCAGTCGCCGTCTCAAGAAAGCGACGCATTGCATGTGGGCATGGCGGACGGATACCGACGCCGGCCAGAACGATGGCGGAGAGAGCGGGGCTGGAGAGCGACTTGCCCGATTGCTGGAGTTGAGCAACTGTCGGAATGCCGCTGTCGTCGTCTGGAGATGGTACGGTGGAGTGCCATTGGGCTCCGCGCGCTGGAAGTGCATCAGCGGGACAGCCAAGGAGGCGCTCAGAAGAGGGGGCTTCATGAGATAGTTACAAGTCTTGCGGGAGATAGTGCTTCCTCGTTTGACTCCAGCATTCGGTCGATCATTCTGAATTGATATAGCAGCCCAGAGTCTTCGCCATACGAAAGCGTACCGGAAAGCAGAGTTGCTCATGGCAGTGAATGACGTATACATATGAGGAACGGACAGAGCCATCTCGCAGCTTCTGATGTCTATGCAAGCGAAAACCTAGACCGACTCTATAATAATAAAGAAGTCAGAGGATAATACCGATGCCTTATGCGCGGACACGCACGCTGCAGCAACGAGTTGAGCTTGGTCACACGCGAAGAGACACTGAGGTCAATCGTCTTGTCGCCAAAGTCGACGACAATGCCACCGAGAACAGAGGGATTAACCTGGCATGGCGTTTGAGAATGTACAAACTGCTACAGGATCGTGTAACGGACCTTATTCTCGATTTTGAGGCTCTTCGCCTGCTGAGCCGTCTGCGACTGCTTCAGGGCCGACTCGAGCTTCGTGAGCGCGTCCTTGGGCAGCGGCGACGCAGAGGTGACCACCACCGTCAGCTCGCCCTTGTACTTCGCCACGAGCTCATTGAACCCGTCAATCACGCCCTGCGTCTCTCCCAACCGTCCGTTCTCCGCCAACACGCCAAAGAGGTTCTTCGTCAACTCGCTCACGGGCTCCTTCTTTGCGCCAGACCCCTCCGCCTTGGCGAACAGCACCTGGAGACCCTTCGTCCTGTCGACGCTGGAGAGCGTCGGGTTGGTGACAAAGACCTCGAGCTCGGGAGTGGTCTTGATGGCATTGGAGATGGCGGAGAGCTCGGACTGGACCTTGTTGAGCGTCTGCGGGGACTTGCCCAGGGCGGCCGAGTACACGGCGTTGGAGTATTTGAGCGCGATGCTCGAAGCGAAGCGCCGTCCCGGGCCTGCTGCGACGGCGGAGCGAGCGGCTGAAAGAATCATCGTCGGTGACGAGCTGGTATTGGGGAGGTTCAGGTGAACGGGAATTTGTTGCGTTAGAGCGTCGTCGGCAGGACCCGGACGTGTGGGCAAATAGGCGCCCACTTGAAGGCGCCGTGAACTCTACTCGCAGACCAAGCGCCCGCTGCTGCGCTGGCATCCGCTTCGCACCACAATCAATCGTCTACGCGGCCCGGTGAACGACCGTAGCCCTTTCGGAACGATGCACCCGACTTTTTTTACATGTTTCCATTTCATCCGTGTGCCATTGTTCTTGAATCTATCTAAAGGTACAGTCTATGCCGCGCGGCGCGTCGGAACGCAGCGAAACGGAAACACCCATCGCTGTGCATTTCATCCGCCCAGCATCAAGGCAAGATCAAGATGAGAACGCCGTTGCTTCCGCCGCAGTTTAGTATGCCCGGGCACTGAAGGCAGGCGTGTGCCTGCGTGTGCGTGCTTATCAGTCCGCGTGTGATCTGCGTGCGCGTGCAATCTCATCCTCAGGTGAGGCCTGCGGGTGGCCTCGTGGCGGGGGTCCAGATGTTTGCACCGAGGCGCTGTTGGAGCTAAGAATGGTGGAAACAGTTGGAACACGGGTCGGGCAGTGGACCGGTGGTGCGCGATGATGCAGGAGATGGCCTGAGGCGGGCAGTGGATGCTGACGAGGGCTGACGTGACTAACGCCGAAGTGGCTTTATCCGCAGGCCGAGCCGATGGCCGTAACTTATCCCCCATAAATTCTTGGTCCTGCCCTTCACCACGCGCTCTCCTTCCACCGACGTCTTACATAGCCTTGCCTGCATTGCAGAACAGCGCGCGGGACACACGACCAACGGAACGACAGAGAACAACCCTCGGGACGGCGCGGTTACGTAAAACGGGAACAATAGCGACGGTACGCGCCTCGTACAGAACAATGCCTGTCGCACGCCTGTGCTCACTCCATTATTTATGGCCCCAACAGCATCCCCCTGCCGTCCGTTCTCTTCTTACTTTCACGCCCTCCAAGATGTTTTCTGTCGCCCGGCTGCGACGTTTTCTCCCGTTTCTCCTGCTCAGTGCCCCGGCCGTCGCCGCACGCGAAGAATCTTTATGTGCGTGATCGCCCGTTTTGGCCACAAGCTCAGGCGCTCACCAACTTTACGCAGTCACGTCTTCTGTAACATACTGCGAGCCTCCAGAGTCGCTCCTTGTTCAAAGATTCGACGTTGCATATTTTGCGAGCAACAACAGCATCAGTTTCAACATCTCCGCAGCTAGCGTGGTCAGTCGTCCTCTGCATGCGATGCCGTCTCCGGCTCTGACGGAAGACATAGGTTTCAAACCTCAATGTCTCTGCCAACTTGTTCGTCAACGTCTATGGGATGCACCCAGTCAATGTCACGATCGATTTGTGCTCCATTCTGGACGGACTCCTTTGCCCACTACCAACGTACAACTTCACTGGAGCCACCTCTATACCTCTTCCGTCGTCGGTTGACGTCGCGTCGAACCTGCCCGGGATCGCATACAAGATTCCCGACCTCGAAGCCTTCGTGCAGCTCACGCTCTTAGAAACGACGACACAAGATGTCGTCGCCTGTGTGCAAGCGACATTGTCGAATGGCTGGTCGACCCACCAGACTGCGGTGGAGTGGGCTACGGGCGCCCTCGCTATTCTCGCCCTGATCCCCTCCATCTTCCAATCGTTGCTCCCGGAGGCTCTTCTCCCCTTCCGCCTCGTGGAACTTATGTTCCTCTTCCAATCCATCGCCGCCACTGCCCTACTTTCCTTGAACTACCCACTGGTCTACCGTTCGTATGCCACGAATTTCGCGTGGGCGATGGGACTCTATCCCTCGCATTCTATTCAGAAGGCGATCAATAACCTTCGCAGCGCTACTGGCGGCCATGTAACGAACGGTGACACCGGGGATTCCGTTGGGTTTGTCAACCGCAAACTCAGCCCGTTCAACGTCGGCCAGGATAACTTCGTTCTTTCCTCCGGCATAGGCACTATCAGCCAGTTTGGCAAGCGAGCCGTAGCCACCGTCACGGCCGGCTCGTCCAATGTTCTCCAAGCCGGCATTCCAGTTTACGTGAACGCGCGCCGTATCGCCACAGCCAACGCGTTCGATAGCATCTTCATCACGGCGCTGATCGCCATAGTTATCACGCTGGCTTGCTTTGGCTTTGGATACCTCATCCTGCGGTTACTCGCTCGCTCAAGTAGGCAAGGGTCAAACGCCGCCGCAGAAGTTGAGGATAGATACCCATCCATCATCAAATCCTGGTCTCTTCGAGTGGTGAGTACGGCGATTTGTGTGTGGAACCACATCTCACTCGGCATCTCGCAGGCATTGATATCATTCTTACCCGTCACCATCTTTGCCTTCTACCAATGGACCCTCAGTGACTCATGGTTGTCCATTCTCCTTTCCGTCTTCCTTATCGCATGGGTCTTCGCCGGTGTCTTCTGGGCAGCATTCGCCACCCTTCGCCTGGCTAGGTCTGAGGGTCCCCTCGCTCTTCACTCCCACACCGAACACCTCCGCTCATACGGCCCGCTTTACGCCATCTATCGCGCGGAGCGGTGGTTCTTCTCCTTCCCTCTGCTATTCGCCGCCCTGGCGAAGTCGGCCGTCATCGCTTTCGGGCACGGACACGGCCAAACGCAGTTGATCTTCCTGATCGCCATCGAGTTGCTGGTGCTCGTCAGCACGATCGCAGCCAAACCACAGAAGACGCGGCGGAGCGACGTGTTCGCTACATTCTTCGCCGTGGTGCGCTTCGTGTGCGCTGGACTCATGATCGCCTTCATCGAGTCTATCGCCGTGGACGCCATTCCGCGTGTCGCCATCGGGATCGTCATCGCCGTCATATTCTCGGTGGCGGTCGTCGTCATGTTCTTCAACATCGTATGGAACATGATCGACGTGGTGTTCCGGAGACGGCGAGCGAGCAGCGAGCAGTCCACACCCGTGGGATCTATCCTCGAGAAGCAGAGCAACAGATCGCTGCCCCCGGCATCTCTCGCAGGATTGGAGGATGGCTTGGGTTCGTTACGCAATGCGCGGATGGAAGATGACCTCGACACATTGCCGAACACTCCCACTACCGCCACGCACTCCCAGCGACACAGCGCCGCACAGGAGATGACATACGCCCGCGGCTCATACGCGCCTCAAAGAGAGCGTTGGTCGCATGCGCACACGTCATCGTCTGGGTCGGCTTCCAGCCAATTACCTCTATCTCGCGCATGATCGATCCCCGCCACTGCCCCCATTATCACTCCTCGGCGATCCGGTTGTACCATATATTGGGATTCCCAACATAGTGCATAGAGGAAGTCTCATGGTCATATCATCACCAACATTCCTTCTCCCGTAGATTATGCTATGTACCCGTGCTCCCGTAATACCCGCCACAGCATAGCTGTTCCCATCTCCATAGAATTTGCTGCATGCATGTACTTCTACCAATTGGCTGATATAAATGGTGTTTATACACAGTCCACGAGTGCTCATACAGAAGAAATGAACGTTGATATAGATGCATTTGACCTGATGAAACATCAAGGTTAAGGGGCTATGATATATCCGCAGGCAGTAAAATAGATCTCCATTTGGCAACGTAGCCGCACCTCCTTCACTTCACCCTTCTTGTTACAAACAATCAAGTAAAGCTCTGCGAAGCTCCTGCATACCTAGAAAGGGATTCGGTAACCGAGATGAACAGCGCCTCAGGAGCCGCCTCCGCCTCCGCACCCTCCTAGTACGTTTATATATTGAGCAACGTGTAAAGCTTCGCAAAAAGCACTCACCGCCACCACCGCATCCTCCACCTCCTCCACAACCTCCGCCCCCGCCGCATCCACCTCCTCCTCCGCATCCACCTCCTCCAGCACATCCTCCTACACCACAGGCCCCTGCCCCTACTGCGCAGGCCCCCGCCCCCTAATTTACTATGCATCAGCATCGGTTCGACTAATCGTAGGCACAGCGTTACGCACCCAAGTAGCCGAATTGACGACCCCAGCATACCCCGCGCACGGCGCATAGCCGTACCAAAGCGGCACCGGCACCAAGAACGCAGGTTCATGCTGCCACGCGCGAGCTTTCTCGTCCGCCGCTCCCTTCTCGCGCTGCTGGCGTTTCTCGAGCTTCAGTCTGCGCTTCGTGCGCGCGGCCTCGCTCGAGACCCTGTGTGTGAAGGAGTATACCGCGTTGTGGTCGCTCGGGTGCGTGCTCGCGAGCGCCTCCGGATGCGACGGAGGGACGAGAGGCGAGTCCGAGTGGACCTCTGTCGACGAACCCGAGAGGACGTGCTTGGTCAACCGAGACATCTTCTGGCCTATGGTGTCACCGGGGACAGGACATCCGCAGTGCATATATGGAATACCGAAACGCGACTAGGTGGGGGCGGGGGGCAAAGCTTGAGAAGCCAGGCTCGCACAATACACAGTGTCTGAATGTGGTGCTAACCTTCCAGGCCCGACAAGTGAGATCGAAGGAGTTTGCGAGCCTGTTCTCCTCCACCTTGTCATCGCTACAGGCAGAGTGAGCATGAATATCAGAATGGAGCCACTTTCACGCACTGGTCAATATGTCGGCCCACAAAAGTCATGCAATTGACGTGGTACTTGTCCGCTTTGAGCTGATGTGTATGCCAGGCCAGGTCAATATCCAACGTCGGAACGAAGAAACCCGCAGGCGAGTGAGCCATCAGATCGAGGAATCTATCATCGATGCATGAGGGCTCTCCATCCGAACGTGCAAACGTATCGGTGGACCTACGCATGATACCGCGCTATGCAATGCTTGAGCACGACTTCGTCATCGGCGCTTCTGAAGTAGTCCGGATTCGTCCACCCCAGAGCATGCATCTTGTCCACGAACGATCCTTGCCGCAGAACCTAGAGCGAATGATAATCAACAGTCCGCGGGCCAATGAGACGCCGACGACACGCATACCGCGCCAACTAGCTCGACCGAGAACGGACGGTCGTCAACGTACGCCGACGCAATCCTGCCCAACCTGTCCAATGCGTGGTTCAGTGTTCATTGTGACTGGCTGATTGTGAGTGGAGTAGTACAATTTGATCATGCCAGGCATCTTGGAGCCCGCGAACGCCCGCACACGAATCATCTTGAAGTCATGAGATTTCGCAACCGCGTCCAGGGCCGCCTTACGCTCCTCTGGCGTCTTCTTGCCCATGTCCTGCAAGTGCCTGTACACGGGATTGAGGAGGAGCCGGATTTTGACATTGTGAGCCCGTGCTGTATCCTTGGACTCCGTACTTGTGCGCAACGATCCACTAGAACGACGTTTAGCTCGAGCTCATGTCCAAGCAACACGTGTCGCGGATATGTACGCACGCCATGTAAATCTCGTAACCTAGTTGCTTGGCATCTTGTAGGTCAATCGCGAGGTTGTTCATGAACTTCTGAACCGCCAACGTTTCCTTCGTTATTTCGAAGTTGCAGTCTTTCGACCGACATGCAACCTTGAAGTTCTGTTGTGCATATCCTGTTCCGTCCGCATCGATATAGGCTGAGGTACGCAGCCTTTCGTCAGCATGACCAATGTCTGCCGAAGCTGAAACTCACGTATCACTACCACAGTGCCACACTTGGGACACTGGACCTCCCTGTCAACGAGGGCGGAGCAGGCGTCAAGAGGATCGAAGGGGGTGCCTGTACGCTTCAGCCAGAAATCCGCCCGCTCAGGCGATGGGCGATAAGTGAACGGATCGCCTATTCTGGCCTGTACGCATGAACCATCAGAAGTAACTTGTATAATGTAGACGTATAAACGTACCAGTGCTGGCAGGAAACGATCACGAAGCTTCTTGAGCGGGGCCATGATCGGCAGCCTCGTGCAATCTTCGGCGTACCAGCTGCCGGGAAGAGCACTGTCAGTAGGCTGTAAGACTGTTGCGGATGGTCTGGTGGGCTCACGCCGGGTTTAGGAGGTAGGCGTGCCAGACCATCCAGACGTCAAGCGGCGGCACTTCTTGCTCTACCCACGAGTCCAGAGGCGTTGCCTTCACGTCGTATAGCCAGCGCTGGAATCTGTCAGGGTCATATGCAGTTTAGCAAGAGGTGTATGATGCAATGGTTTGATATCGGAACCTCTCGACTGCCAGGGACACAAACCAACCCCATCGTTGTTCAGGTTCGGCCAAGGCGCGGACAGGCTGAGGCAGACGCTCGTCGACTCCAGAGCTCACTGCATTCTTCAGCACATAGAAGGCGCCAAGCAAATCCAAGTGCACTTTCAGCTCCGGAACGTCCACGAGAGGGTTATCGAGTTTCTTCGAACCGATGGTGAAAGCGGTTGGGAAGTGATAGCTCGGCGGAGCATCCGATGGGCGTGTTGCCGCGTCGCTCGAGTCCGAGGCGCTGGATGCGTTTGCCAGGGAAGCGTCGGTGGTATACGCCGGTGGTGCCGCTGCCATCTCTTCTCGATAGGCAAGCTTAGACGTGAAAGCGTTGATATACCGGTCTCACATGGTGACCTACTTATATGGCCTGTGAAATAAGCTTCGGCGACGAAGGCTATGCGATAGCGCTGTACCGGGCATATATACGGATCAACGCCCGCAGCTTCGTAGTCGGCATTGCATTGCATGACCGACGAGGTGTGGGGATGGCGCGTAGCCAGCCAGAGCCATGCTGAGCCAGCTGCGGACTTGTCCAACGTCGTGACCCAGCGCCGCCGAACAGGTCGGATGGCTGTTGAGACAACCGCAGATGTTCTCTTCAGGCACCACCGAGTAGTTGCGACACTTTCGTGCGCCCTATCTCTTTGGTTCGGATACACTCAGGCGTTGATCAGTACTATGGTCGCCCTCATGCTGGGTGGTCACAAGTTGGATCTGACCCGACGTGAGTGTATCCCACCACCACCCTCCATCATCACACTCGGATAAGCAGTGTCGGAGTCAATCAAGCTGTATATTCCAGAGGATAACTAGGTTATCGTACCCGCCCGAGACGATGTGACACCCATCCGGCGAAATCGCGACGCACGAAACATTCTTCAGGTGTCCCCGCAAAGGGCTCTGCACAGGTTGCCCCGTCTCCGCGTCCCATATCCGGATAGTCCCGTCGTCCGAGCAGGACACGATGCGCCTGCCGTCCGGCGAGAACGCGACGCCATTGACGTCCGCCGTGTGCCCCTGCAACGGGCCCAGCAGCAACCACCCCGTATCAGCATCCCACACCCGAAGGGTATCGTCGTACGCTCCCGAGACGATACGCTTCCCGTCCGGCGAGTACGCGACAGCCCTGACCGCCGATCCGTGACCTTCGCATGGGTCACCCACGGGCTGACCTGTCTGTGCATCCCAAATCCGGGCGGTACCATCGCGCGATCCGGAAACGATCCGCTCGCCGTCGGGTGAGAATGCGAGGGAGTAGACGGCGCCGGCGTGCGCTCGCAGAGGCGTCCCTACGGCCGTGCCGGTTTGCATATTCCGAAGACGGATTGTGCCCTCGCCCGTTCCGAGAGCGACGCACCAGCTATCGGGAGCGAATGTAACGGACAGGACACCGGGGAATGCGAGAGACAGAACGCCCGTGTCCTCCCGCAGAGTCATCCCGACTTGCATGCCTGTCGCCACGTTCCAGAGTCTGACCGTCCCATCCTTCGAGCCTGAGCAGAGATGCGTCCCGTCAACGGAGAACGCTATAGAGTTAACGTCATTTGCATGTCCCCGAAATGGCCGGTTTACAGGCTCCCCAGTGTCCACTTCCCAGACGCGGATTGTACCGTCTCCCGAGCCCGAAGCGATACGCGAACCATCAGGTGAAAATGCAACGGACCACACAATCCCTGTATGGCCCCGCAACTGCTTCGTTTGCACCCCTGCGGGTTCGTGCATGGAAATCACCGAGGCGCCTAGACTGGGCGCAGATTGCATCGGTGCCACTTCTTCAGCGTTCGAAGGTGCTGCTACGTGTGGAATATAGCGGATAGGCGGTATGTGTACTGTGGCGCGCGCGTGTAGCGTGCCATCAACTAGGGCGCTGGGGCTGGATTCAAGTCCTGCGCGCTATGGTCAGTTCATCACACCAAGTGATGATATCATGTACAGACCATGCAGAGCATCAGGGAAAAGCCGTTGTAGAATACCCAGCATAGAAGGTCGTTGAGCTGGATCAGAAGCCCAGCATGTCTCGATCAATTCCCAAAGATCGTCATCTAGGCCTAGGTCTCGAGCACTGGTGGGACGGGATGGTCGCACGCCATCCTTAACCTTCAAGACCACGACGTAGTCGATTCGAACATCATGAAAAGGAATCCGCCCGTCAAATATCTGTATTAAGGGTCAGAACAAGCTGACGGGAAAGTTGACACCTCCATACCTCCCACAATGCCATTCCGTATCCATAAACGTCTGTCTTGGTTGTTAGAGTAACGGATTCCACTGTATGGTCCAATAGTTCCGGCGCCATATAACGCAGGCTGCCGCGATTTGCAGAAGTCTCCGTGAACGAGGCAAGAGTCTCTGTCCCGATGACGGTAGTAGCTAAACCAAAATCACCCAAACGAGCGCGTTGTTGTCCATCCACAAGAATGTTTCGCTTCGCATAGGGTGAACACTCGGACGGTCCTGTACATTGGCTCACTCACTGCCTTGACATCGCCATGTATTATGCCGTTCGTGTGCATGTAATGTAGCCCCCGAGTGATGTCGAGGACCTTCAGATTGGAATGTGAGACGAAAATTGTCGGCAGGTTGCACGGCAGACGAACCAGATGCCTCCGATCCGCAAGAGGAAACTGCTTGAGAAAGGACACCACGTCTCCGTACTCCATCCACTCTGCCACAATACATAAGTGAAACCGAGGAGACACGCCGAGGAACGGCACGATGTTCGCATGCGAGAGACGCTTCCAAAATACTGCTTCCCTGCAGAACACCTGTACGACGATGAGATTGTGGAGAGGCCGGTAGCAAGCACTAAACTGGACTCACCTTCTTCACTTTCTCGCGATCTCCGGCATGTAGACGTATGACCTTGAGCGCAACGGAAACACCTTCATGTGTCCCCCGCCAAACATCAGCGAAGCCGCCTACGGAATACGCCTCGTCTTCATCTCTTTTCACGAGTCCCGGCAGTTCGTATGACGTTGGTAACAGTCCACTTTCGCCGCACAACTGGCTGAGGGCGCGCAGGAGCGGCCGGAATGTTGGGTCATGGCGAGGAAGCAAGTCCAAGTGCTAAACGCGCCCATAATCAATGAGGGCGCGGTGTAGAAGATGAAGTGCTAACATTGTCTAAAGCATCTATCCGTGTTTGCGTACTCGGAACTGGGTACCCAGGGCGAAAAACCGAGTCCATCCTTGTAATCGACTCGCGCTCAGCAGCGGGCCCGGGAACATGAGGGATCGTGGCAAGAGCGAAGTTGAAGACATGGCGATGCGACATAGCAGAGTGTGACTCAGTGATCTAACTCTATTCCGAATTACAGGACCGCATTCGATTGATGGAACACGGATGCAAAAGTCCTCATATCCTATCATTTCTTACCACCAACGTGGAATACGCTCAGTAGCGCGAAACAACCGTAGAGCAGCCCAACGGGGTATGCCACCAGCAGCCTCTGGTCGGACATGCGTAGCACGGCGACGAATATCCCAGATGCCGCATACGTGCACCAAGCAATCGAGATTATTGATAGTATGGAACCCAGCAGTCCACTGCAGAAGGTGGTCATCAGACGCACTGAGTACAGAACGGGCAAGAACAAACACGTACTCGAGTGTTACCATAACGCTCACAGCGCCCACGCCGACCATGGGCAGTAGACAGTAACCAAGCACCGAGACGACGCGGTATGCGTCTATTCCGGTCTCGGACATGAGATTTAATAGCATATAGACGGACATGGAGCCCAGAAGCCCAACACCGTAGATATATCCGAATTGCGGCTTTCCGGACTGTTCACGAGAACGTAAGTTGCAGCGTACGCCTAGGAGGAATAGTGATACTCACTAGAAGTAGAAACATTCCAAAGCAGAGAATGAAAAGTAAGGGTCCCGCCAAATCCGCGTCGTCCATTATATGCTCGTCTACGCGTCCGAACGGATTGAGCACGGTCATGGACTTGGCTCGTATATGCGTAAAGTTGATGCCGAGTTCTTCGGTTATGCTGCATCGGTTCAGCAGTTCCAGAAACGCGCACACGAGAGCGCTCACCCTCTAGTAACGGCGGCTCTCCTTCGAACCCGCCGGTCCCGAACGCGGTCCACCACGGGCCGACCGGTTGGATGTTGCCTCCGTACTGCGGCGCCATGCTACCACCAACGGCGCCCTGAGCCATGTTTCCCTCCAGCGAGGAGCGTGCAGCAGGGTAGAATGCATTGGGATCAGCCACACCCGCCGCGCTAGGACCTGGAGAGTAGAACTGGAGCGGTACGCCTTGCGAAGGTCCGGGTTGCGGGTAGTAGGAGTTTTGTGACGAGGATGCAGCGTATGCGTGGTTGTCTTGCCACATAGCAGGTGCAAAGAAGGGGGGAATCTGGCGTTAGGACAAGGATATGCGGCGGACGTGTAATACGTGGATCATTGCGCCGCGCGTGGTAGAGTGGCGGGCGTTGCAGTCACTGACCGAAGCACGTGCCGCAAAAGTCTCCTTTACTCCTGCCATGGTGAGTCCCGCATTGGGTCGATCAGTAACAAGAGTCTGACGTTCTTCTCCTCATCTAGCCTCAGGTATGCTTGCGCAATATACGCTGTTTGGAATTTGTCTAACGTGGAATAGAACGAGTACATTGAGGAGCACATTAAGCGCCATGGGCGGCGGTTAGATTACTACGAGCGCAAGTAAGTACAGCTCGTAATATCTAACTTCGTCCTCTTAACTTTATCTCAAGACGCAAGCGCGAGGCCCGTGAATCTCACAAAGCCTCCGCGATAGCGCAGAAGACATTCGGTATCAAGGCGAAACTCCTTCACGCCAAGCGCCATGCGCAGAAGGTCCAGATGAAAAAGACGCTCAAGGCGCACGACGAGAGGAACGTCAAACAGGCGGATACATCTGCGCCAGAGGGTGCCCTTCCCGCATACCTGCTCGACCGAGAAGGCCAGAGGGATGCGAAGGCGCTCTCGTCGGCGATCAAAGAGAAGCGGAAGGAGAAGGCGGCAAAGTATGCCGTGCCCTTGCCCAAGGTCCGAGGCATCGCGGAGGACGAGATGTTCAAGGTGATGCGAACCGGAAAGAGCAAGAGCAAGAGCTGGAAGCGGATGGTCACGAAGGCGACGTTTGTCGGAGAGGGCTTCACGCGCAAACCGGTGAAGATGGAGCGGTTCGTCAGGCCGATGGCGCTGCGGTACAAGAAGGCTAATGTAACGCATCGTGAGTTTTGCCTTAATTCGTGTCGAGGAATTGCGTGCAACTGATCTTGCGGTTAGCCGATTTGAAAGCGACGTTCCAGCTTCAAATCCTCGGTGTCAAGAAGAATCCGCAATCACCGATGTATACACAGCTCGGTGTTCTCACAAAAGGAACCGTAATTGAGGTCAACGTATCGGAGCTGGGCATGGTCACCGCAGGTGGCAAGGTCGTGTTTGGGAAGTACGCTCAAATCACGAACAATCCAGAGAACGATGGCTGCATCAACGCCGTCCTTCGTGAGTTTTTACCTTACCTCGGCACGCTCATGGTACTGATGGGAATGTCAGTCGTCTGAGGTACTTGACGCTGCTCACGTCTTCTGCATGTATTGGTAGTCTATGGTCCTATGTCCTAATAAGATGCATTATCCGTTGGAGGGACTTGTGCTGTGTGAGCGTCGCGAGCCCGAGTTTAGGGTCAAGTGATCCTCTCCTCCCTCCCTGCTCGACATGTCCGCCTCACCTTCTCCTGGTCCTTCCACCAAGCCTGGAACACCGACTCCCAAACATGCCACCAACGCAACGGACAAACAACGCGCTCAGCTTGAGCGGCTGCTCAAAGATCCGGCAAAGCCGGCATATATACCCCCGCCGCCGAAAGACAAGACTATACGACCACCGAGGGAGATGATGAAGAATGTACAGGGCAGCAGTGCCGGTGCAGGAAGCGGAGAGTTCCACGTATACAAGGCCAGTCGACGGAGAGAATATGAGCGGCTAAAGATGTTGGAGGAGGAGGCGCAGAAAGTTCGTTAGTCGCCATCCTTGCCCACGCGCGCAGGCTGACCTTGCCACCCCAGGAAACGCTTGAAGCCGAGTTCGAGCGTAAGAAGCGCGAACGCGAAGAGGCTGCTGCTGCGAAAACGAACAAAAACAGGGCAAAGCGGCAAAAGAAGAAGGAGCGGACCAAAGTGGGCAAGGAGAAGGACGCCTCGACCGACGGCCATGCCGGCGACGGCGTTCCGCTCAAGAAGCGGAGGTTAGTGAACGGCGCAGAAGTCACCTTCAAGAGACCCGGGGAGGAGAGTGACGACGAAGACGAGGGGGCGTCGGGTCCACAGCCCGCTGACGGGCGGCAGGACGAGGGCGACGAGGAGACTCGGACGGTCGAGCATACCGGGACGACGCCGCTCGCAGAAACCCACCAGATTGTGATACACGAAGATGACTGAAGGTCAATACGATCTCAACACTCGCCGCTGTACCAATACGAACTGCAGATGCTCTTCCCGCCTTCTTCCGCGAGGATTATTGTTCGTATCCCAACTCAATCTAGTTCCGCCCAGTCCAAGAATGTCCCAGAAGCATTCTCATTTCTGACGGGGCACACTACGTAGGTGATGACATATCGATAAGTAAACCGAGCCATGGCTTGCCAGTCTAAAGATGTATCCAAGTCCATGTGGACGGAGGCTAGCGGATCGTCGTTCTCAAACCTTGACCTCCTCCACCTTGTTCTTGTCCTCGAACGGGTTTTGGTCCTTGAAGGGATTCTCGGGCTTGGGAGCCTCAGACATGACAGGTATCGATACGGGCATGCCGTTGACGACGCCGACCTGAGGCGGAACATTGCCACCCTGGTAGTAACTCGGAGGGGCGTTCACGATCTACGCCACCATTCAGCAACACGACGCATGGTATTGTTGGCAAGAAAGGGACGTACGTTGCCCGGGAGCGTGTTGAATCCGAAGGACCGCGACGCGCGCACGGACGGCACGTCGATGATGAGGCAGATGGACATATTCATCACGCCGGGAGTCTTGACCTTCCAGGTGGGGATGACGGCGCCGGGACCCATAGTTGCCCTGTCCTCGCGCTCCCACTTGTGCACGATGGCGTTGACCTGGCGGTTTCCCTGGGAAGAAAGATATGGCTCGGGGGGAAGGGAAAACTGGGTGCATGATGGGCTTACAATGAACTTCCAGATGGCCATGGGCAGCCAGAAGAGCAGGAGGGTTCCGACGAGGATACCGAAGCTAACCGCTTTGGCCTCGAAGAAGAATTTGACTTCCCCTTCCCGGTTGTCGTTCATCGCGGCGAGGATGACGCGGTACAGGGCAACCGGGAGGACAATGACCGCACTGAAAGTAGAGCATGGGTCACCACACCGCATATATGTCCACATTATGATGCACTCACATGAGCCCGATCAGTGTCCAAACGCGCTCGAACATTGGCTTTGAATATTTCGCAGACGTCCTCGTGATGACCGGCACACGAGCATTCCAAGTGTCACGAGAGATCTACCAGGGAGACTATCAACCCCATTTCGTATTGAAGGGAGAACAATACGCACCCATCTCTGTAACTCGAACGGAGGCGCAGGCGGGGCAGTTTCATTGGCCGACAAGTACTGAAGACCGCATGGAGTTAGCATTCGCCGGCAGCACGACGGTGGAACACTTCATACGACAGTGATTTTGTCAGAAGCCTTGGGCGCCGCAAATCCCTTGGGAATAGCCATGGTTTATTTATGCCGAAAGTCCTAGAGCTCGGGAAGAAATGCGGTATATGAAGGTCGCCCTGCGACTGTTGCGGAAGATTGATATGCGACCTGCGAGAGCGTCAAGCCCGTTGTAGAGAGAAATGCTAGAGACAAGGAAAGAGAGGAGAGGGAAAAGACAAAGGTGATTGCGTCCGCCATCTTGTTGATGCCACTGGCCGAGCGACCGTGCCCCGGTCGTCAGGCCGCGCTCTGTGCTAATCTCGGAGATGCCACGTGCTAATCTTAGACGAGCAGGCTCAACGCGATCCCAGGGAAAACATATGCTCCCACTACGGATTCCATGCACGGGTACAGTTGCAGTTCGCGATAAGGGCGACGCAAGGCTTTCTCGTCTGACAACAGCAAGCCATGCCTCGCCGGGTGCTCATTGGGTTCGGTGTCGACGTTGATGCCGTCGCCGGCTGGTGCGTCCTGGATTACACCATGGAATAGATGCGTCGGTGCCATCCTGAATTTGAACTTCAGGCTTGGCTCATATGGAGGGGAGGATTCTCCTTTGGACATCTCTCGAGTATGTTGTCGTTCACCGCCTTGTCGCCCTGTGCGATATGACCGATCGCCCATGAATAGGGGATGTACGCCGGGGAAGTGGGTGTACCCCGCCTGCTGAAGCTCTTCGACAAGTACAAACTGAAGACGACATGGTTCATACCCGGCCATAGCCTTGAGACCTTCCCAAAGGAGATGGCCGCCGTGCGCGATGCTGGTCACGAAATGTTCGTCGGGCTTGTCACCATCGCGTCCGATCCCGCTGACTTGTGGCGCGTTCATCCCGCAGCGGTTTGCACGGGTACTCCCACGAGGTGCGGTTCCCCATCACACGACGCTGCCGCCCGTGTATTTGGAGCTGATAGTATCTTAGAACCCCGTCTCGATGACCGCCGAGCAACAAAAGGACATCTTAGAGCACACTTACAAGCTTCTTACGGACTTTTGCGGCGGAGTCTCCCCAAAGGGCTCTGTCGCGCCTTGGTGGGAGACGAGCGCGGAAGGAACGGATCTGCTGCTCGACAAGGGCATCGAATACGGTAAACAATGTCCAATATACCCTTTATTGGCGCACGTCACTGAACTTGACGTCGCGTAGACCACTCTAACATGGCACATGAGTATGGCACCTTCTTCTGAAATTTGTATTCCATCTCACCAAACATCGGCCCTCAGCTCTCAGGCGTACTATCTGCGTGACAAGGACACCTGGACCAAGATAGATTACTCTGCCAAAGCGGAGACGTGGATGAAACCTTTGCAGCGGGGAAACGAAACCGGCCTCGTCGAGATACCAGCCAACTGGTGAGTCAGCATTCACATGAAACAGCTTCTTGCGCTGACAACGATTTCGATAGGTATCTAGATGACCTACCCCCGATGATGTAAGGGCGTTATCATATCGTTCCGGCTACGCTCCCGACGATCGTGTCCCAGGTTTATCAAAGCCAGCGCCAACTCTCATGGATGGGTACGACTTGCATAAACACATCGAGCAACTCGCCGAGCTCATTTGGCGTTTGTGTAGGTCAACGCCAGAGACGTCGAGCAACTCTGGAAGGACATGTTCACGTATCTGTACCGGTATAAGCCGACCATGCTCTCTCGCGGTTCATTTGCCTGACTTGTGTTATTCTGGATGCAGCGAGGAGGAGGACTTCATATTTCCGATCACCATCCATCCCGACGTTAGCGGGTGAGTCCTCAGCTGCTGTCTTGGCGTGTCATCCGTATCTGACCGCTGTCCTTCTTAGTCGCCCTCACGTCCTGCTCATGCTGGTGCATCCTGCTCACCGCCTTTCCACCGCCGGTGCACTGCTGACCTCTTCTCCTTGCCGTGCTGCGGACTTCCTGCTACTAACCGTTTCTAGGAGCGCTTCATTGAATGGGTCAACAGCCATGATCATGTACACTGGGTCCCCATGATCGAGATGGCTCGCGAGTTTCGAGCGAAGCAGAAACCCGCACAAGGCGCGAAGATGCCGCGAGGATTTGCACACGAGTAACGCTCATGATGCGTCACAACCATCCTCGAGCGTTAGGTACCCAATCAGTCGCCATTTCGAAAGCGATGTCATGGATTTGAATAGCAGCGGGGTCATTCCGAGCCGGAAAGGTCTGCCCGACAGCGCGGAGCAACCGTGCCAAGGTCGATCATAATTGGTTCATCTTGCCTACGGGCAAGCGGTACAGGCGTTGCGTGAAGTATTTCCTAGTCTCGCCCCATCGTTCTTCCTCGTCTTTCCCGACGAACACGTCGACATCGCTCCATTCTACTTGTATTCCGAGTTCGGCTAGATGCAAGTCGCTTAAATGCGTGTAGACGTCGTAAAACAGAGCGTCTAGGTGATGCGTTATGAGTATACAGTCGTGACATGTGCGAGCGACGTACTGGTGGCACCCAGCCCATTGAAGAACCCAAACCTAGAATGTGGGCCTCGCAGGAGATCAGGGACGTGCTCGAAGAACTGCTTCAGGTCTGCACGTTAACCAGAAAGTGAGATGGGGACGCTCGGGCGTTGGTGGGCGAGATCATTCTGACGGACCTTTGTAGTGCTCTGAAAACGTATCGGTGTACACGACGTCGAATCCGCCAATGCCTAACAATTGTTCGCTTTCGACGAAATCTTGCCACTTGCCTTCGAGGATCCTCACATCTGGCTTGTCATACCATCCTCGAGCTTTCATGTGGGCAAGGACATCTGGATGTGGTTCAATGATGACATGCAACGCAGGCGGTGTTGGTAACGACTGGAAGATGCTGTCGATCTACGAAGATTCAATTACCAGTCAGAACCAGTATGTTTGCGAAGTCTGCGCGGAGGACTGACGATACCAAGTCCGAAACCGACGTTGAGGACCCGTAGTCCGCTCCGAAGATTTTCGTGGTCGGAGCATAGTTTTCGCACAGATTCTTCCACTGCGAGAATGCTCAGGCATCGATCGCGGACTGGTTACGCAACAGAAGAACCCACTGATCTCGCGCTCCCAGCCCATCATCACGCCGACATCCTCATCTCCGGACCGGACCACGCAAATATCCTGGCCGTTCGCATCCTGCGTGAACCGAAGCCGCGACGCGAGGAACTCGTCTTGCGACCCAGAAGCAGTGGTATCCGATGACCGAAGCACGAGAGCTGAAGGAGACTCAAAGGCGCTAGGTTTGGAGGATAGCAGACCGAGTAATAGCTCTGAGACCTCATGTGCATGAGAACGGGTTTTGTACTTTCACGAGACGCGTGTCACCAGTTCTGATACCGGCGTCGCGAATGATGGTGTAGCAGGCTTCGTTATTCAAGGAAAGCGCGACATCCCCTGCCGTATTGCCGATATTGTCGACTGGAGGAGAGGGTAAGGAACACCCACAGAGTTACAAACGAACGGAGATCACCTGCGTTCCACACCGCCCCATGCTCGATGAGTAGGCGCACCAAGGCTTCACTTTCAGTGTAAGCAGCGGCATGCAAGGCGCTCCATCCGTCGGCGTCTTGCCACCAGAGGGGAGCATCCGCGTCGATCAGCTGCTTGATCTGCGCGAGGGGGGCGCGTTCCAAGATCGCGGACACAAGAGCCTGACCAAGTTCCTGTAGAACGGAAATGGCTTCCTCTCCTGATGCGTCCATGATCACGTTGAGATTGCGAGTTGACCGCGATAATTATTGTCTCTTGGTGAAATAGCAATGTTCAATTCCGACTCCTCGAAGTTAGAGTTCTGAGGTAAAGCGAGGTACGGAAACGTGAGAACAGCGTGCTGAGCGTGCGCCTTTGCGGATGGCGGTGCACTTCCGCCTTGTACGAGGCGCGCGCGAAGAACCTCGCTCGCAAGTGTCTCTGCAGATACAATAAATCTTCGAAAGCCTACTCATCTGTCCTCTCTGGATGCCTCGTATCACTACGAACCCGTACAAGCAGGCGGTCCCCGACTTCGGCAGAGCCGCGCATGCAGCAGTACGACAGCTGGAAAGCCGTGGTGACACCCTGGAACAAGCGGCGCAATCCCTCGTTGACGCGTGGCGAACCCAAAACACTCAGGAGAAGGAAGCCTGGGATCGGCAGTTGCGGGAAGATAGGGAGGCCGAAGAACGAGCAGAGCGAGAGAGGCAGGAACGGGAGGAAGCGGAGAGAGCTGAGGAAGAACGGGAAGCTGCTAAGAACCGACCTAGGGCTCCTAGGTACGGTCGCGACCAGATGGTAGCCGACTCCGACGCATCGCAAGTATCTGCATACGCCCTCCAGCGACTAAAGCAATACAAGTTCGTCCACCTATGGTACTTCGGAGGGGAAGGAAAACGCGAGGCAACGGAAAACGCGATGGTCGCGTCTGAGGACGTCTTCTACATGGCCCGGGATGGTGACGGAGTTGCCCTGCGATTGTCGTCGTCGGCTTGTGCCTCGAAGAACTGCAAGGAGGACAAAGACCTGGATTGGCGCCTGTTCACAATCGCAAAAGCGGGGCTGCTCAAGGAAATGGGGAACGTAGGGTGGAGCCAGGAAGTTGTGCAAGACTTCGTGGACTTCTTTCACTCCATCGAAACCCATTCCATCCGTAACGAGAAGTACGGTGTTGCCTCTCTCCTGATTTATGAGCAGGAAGTGAGGCAAGAATGGCACCTCACGTACGAGCATAACCCAAGCAAACTCTTCAACCCGGCGTTGTTCAACGAGGAGCGTCTCCATCGGATCATGCTAAAGTATCTCCAGAACCAAATGTATGAGGCGGCCAAAGCGTGAGTCTTGTCTCTGGACCAAGTTGCAAGGTTAAGAGCAACTCGCTAACCGTATTCGCATCCCCCCTAAACGCATCCACGAATCGCGGCTCACATTCCATTCTCTATGAATGTCCATACCTGTCTCACAAATTTTTGCTCGTTGGCACAACACGGCGCGTCAATATGCGAACGAAATACATGGCATGGCACGCTTGCATCGCGTCAATACGCGATTGACAACGCGTCGCGACGCGAATCATATCGGTGGCGAAACTCGCGCATGTTCTTTCCACAATAGCCGCAGCACGCGCGTTAGGACCCATGCGCACGGGAAAGACAAAGACGGCACGTACGAACGCGCCATACGCCCGAGGCGAGAGCGTCTCCGGACGCGACCAGAATTTTCGTTTTGGCGCCGGCGCGATCGCCCATTCGCCGTGCGCCTTATGCCTTGGATGTCACCTCCACGACGTGCGCGCCTGTCGGTCTCCTGTGCTTTGGAACGGGAGGACCAAGGCTTACTGCTCGCGTGACGACAACGGGCATCTCGTTGACCCAAACAACGTCACCTTGTGCAAGAACTTCCAGCTTCCCCACGGGTGCACACGCTCAGCTCATACCCACCTCTACTGCCACCTCTGCTCAGGATGCGGACTCTCAAGTCATGGTGCTTGCGAGTGCCCGCTCGCGCAGAGCAGCTAATGCGCATACCCTGCATCTCGCGGAGGGATGGAAGCGCCAACTCGATCACCACGGGCTGGTATGTAAATACCCAACCTCGTCGACTCCATACGACATGGCTTCGACGCAGGAATTACCCCACCTAATTCAACGTTTCACTCCCGATAATCACGCATCCGTGGCGCAGCAGGCTGTCGAATTCCGGAAGACCATTGAGCAAGAGTTTGAACGAGGCCGCTACTTGGGCCCGTACTTGCAGGAAGTTATTGAGCGCGTACTGGGTCCCTTCAAACGTCTCCAATCTTGATCATTCCAAAACCTCCCAATCCCGCCAACTTCCGTATCATCCAAATCCTCTCGTTCCCTTATCGACCTCGTGACAACATCACCTCTGTCAACTCCTACATACTTACTTGAAGTGCTACAGCCTGAGAGTGCTCTTCAATCGAGAACACAGGACACACTATATACGGCCAGGGCTATGGATATTTGGTGCCTATGAAGTACACATGGCGAGATGGCCGAGCGGTCTAAGGCGCCAGACTAAGGATCAACAGCGAGTAGCTGTACATCTTCCGATAATATTGGAATCTGGTCCGAAAGGGCGTGGGTTCGAATCCCACTCTCGTCAAACCTTTTTATTCCTCTTCCAGAGGACAACTGAAAAGTTCAATTGGTGCTCACTGCTTGGCGGAGGAGGCGGAGAGAGAAAAGTAGCGTATTGTCGCGTACGTATCGGAGGCGAGGTGGTGCTAGTGGCTACGAATGACGCAATTTCTTTCCTCCTATAAAGGCCAGCCAATATGCCACCCTTTTTCTGAGTAGGAAGAGCGACAGGGACACGCACAACACCGCTAGGAGCTCCTTATTTTTTCTGCTGGTGTCTCGATGAACTCAGTCATGAATCCCGGTTTTGTCCAGGTACCGGCAGAGCAATCGACCAGTATGTACATACATCCAACCAGTTTGCGCAAGTACGGATATCAACACAGAGCAATTGACAGAATAGCAACGCAGGATAGCAACGAAGCCAGACTTGGTGTCCCCGTCATCATTGCCCCGTTGGTACTTGCACTGGGAAGCGTAGCGGTATTGGTCCCATCCGAAGGTACAACAGCGGTACCTGAGACCCCATTTCCCCCAACGGTGCCCTGCGTGGTAGTCGCACCCGCCGTCGAGGTCGCTCCAGCCGACTGCGAGCTGAGGAGTTCCGTGGCGGCGGCAGCGATGACGCCAGACAAAGCTGTAACGCTCGACGTCCCAGTCACGGTCGTGTACGAGCCAGTGATCACTGTGTCCGTCACGATCGACGGAGGAGCGACCGTGTGTCTGGAAGTCAAGTCCGTCAGCCTGAAGCAAGTAACGACTTCGAAAGATGTGCTGACAAGGCAGACGAGGTCCAGTCATCGTTGAATGCGCACGTATCTCCGAAGAGGGTGGCGTTGTTGTACAAGGACAGGCTTTGCATGTACGCGAATTGCTTGGGCATGCAGTCGGAGGTGAATCCGGGAGGAAGCTGGCCGTGCAGCTGGAGATAAACCTGCAGTACGCTCACTTGCGCAAAGTCCTGCAGTGGCCGCGTCATTACACGCGACTCACAAGGAGCTGCTACTATGATCACAGACCTCGACATAGTTTATTTGTGCGTATGTGTCAGGAACGCAGCTATCCCCGTCGACGGCGCTAATCCATGCGTCGGACGACGAGTGTCCATGATCGGACGCGTGCGTCGATTCTGTCAACGAACGGCGCGTTGAGCAAGTGATGACGCCTGGTCACTCGGCAACTTACCGTGAATCCAGGTCCTTTGAGAGCAAACACCGAAGTAATGGATGTCGCTGGCAAGAGTGTAGGCATGAGCTGAGCTATCTGGCATGAGCATGACCTATGCATGCATCAGGACTCCGGAATTGTGCGGTGTGGTCAATAAAGGACACTTACGGTTCCGACGTTTCGTCGCAACCCGATGGGCACGCGAGCTAAATGGTCGATGCCCTCTTCGAGCGTGATGTTCGCAGTTGTGCAGCGGCACACCGTCCAGGCAGAGCCGCAGTCACCCAAGGTGACGTTAAACGCCTGCATCTGCGCTGCGCATTCCTGACCTGGCCCTGTATACTGGGCGCAAATGCTGGGCACAGACGAAAGGGCGACGAAGGAGCGCGGGGGACCGGGGACATCCAGCATGTCGAATGTGGAGTAGCCTGATTGCTGAGCGGGATTGCTGAGAGTTCTGGGTAGCAGTTGCCCCTCAGGCTTTGGGTGTGCACCCACAAAGCTGAGTGCGGAGAGCAATAGTAAGGAGCCTTGCATGATCACTTGAGTGGATAGCATGGTGGCCCAGGAGCAGCGTATGTATCAGGCCAAGCACAGGCCGAGTGCTGAGGCTCCTCAACTCCGATGTCTGGCCGGATGTTAAGTAACCCCACACAGACAGGAATCGGAGGCTTGCTTGGATATACGGGCGGTTGCCATGATGGTGAACTTGAAAGAAGCGTGCCGGTGAACGCGAAGATCAAGCCGTCGGTAACCTAACCCAGTGTGACCCAGGACGATGCCGCTTCTTAACAGCATCCGTCGCTTCACCGGTCCTCTATCGGAGGTTGCTATACACGGTCCAACACGCGGCTCCGCAGAGGTGTGCAGAGGAAGACTCGAGGAAGTCCTCAGCAGTGATTATCGACCCGAAGCTAAGCCAACATGACCATCTACAGCATGTACATCTACGACCGGTAAGTCTCCCGCCCCCCGAGGAAGTCAAATTCACGCGTATCGCCTCGTAGTCACTGCGCATGCGTCTACTACCATGACTGGCATCGCACGAAACGGCCCAAGCCCGCCGCAGAAGGCAACATACTCCCCGCCGTTTCGCATGCGATCACGACCAACCCACCCTCTAGCGTCGCCTCCTCGGCGTACAACTCCCCGCGGAATACGCTCTCGTCGCAAACGGGCATTGTGGTAGCGCTGAACAGCGACGTGCCGCCCTCACCACCACCGCCCCTGCTCCAGACTGTGGCCCCCCAGCAGCCACAAGCCGGGGCAAGTCAGGGCAGCACGGGTTTGCCATTCGACGAAGAGGCCAAGCTCGTGTACGGTGTGATGGTTTCGCTACGCGCGATGGTGAAGAAGCTTTCTGGACGGTATGGTCGTATCCCCTGCGCGTCCAAGTTGTGGTGTCTGATCAAATGATCTGCATCCTGCAGAGACGAACAGTTCACCTCATACAAAACTTCCGCATACAAGCTTCACCTCTTCGAAACGCTCTCTGGCTACAAGTTCATCATGCTTTCCGACCCTTCTACTGATTCCCTTCGATTCATCCTTCGTCAGATCTATACCGGCCCCTTCCTCGAGTACGTTGTTCGCAATCCCTTGGTTCAGATGGACTCGAAGGAACGAGGCATCGATAATGAGTACTTCCGCGCGAGCACGGACCGTTTAGTCAGAGGACTGTCTGTTTTCCCGTAGAAGGGCAACGTCGCGTTACTAGCGAGGTGGAGGAGCGACAATTGCATGAACATCCATATCCTTGATTATCCGAAGTAGAGTAGATTGCTAAGCTGTACATCTAATGAAATCAACAATAACGGGAACTAAACAAAATCAGTCCTCCATATCCGTCAACGGACTGGCAGATCTCGCGTCCGCCTCCTTAGTGCTGCTCTCCTTTGTCGACAATTCAGGCTGCCCATCCCGCTCGCTTTCTTCACTCTCAAACTGCTTCCTCAACACGCTCATCAAGCTCTCCTTCATCTGCTTCTCAGCCTGTCCCTCGCCTTTGCCCTCGCCCTCCACCACCTCCCCTGCGACGGCTTCATCGAGGGCCAGTTTCGTCTCGCCCAGTCGCAACATGTCCTCCTCGATCGTACCTCTGGTGACGAGTTTTACGACGTCGACATCCTGTTTCTGACCGA